AGTCGAAGAGAGAGGAAGCGGGGAGAAAGCAGGTATGGGAAGAGTTGAGGAGAGAGGTAGTCGGGAGAGAAAGGGAACGGGGATAGACAGCGAGTAGGGAGTGTGGGAGAGAGTAGGAATGGGAGAGAGAGGGGGAGAGGGGGTGTGAGAGAGAGTAGAAATGGGAGAGAGAGAGAGGAAGTGAGGGAAGTATAGGATAAGAGAGGAGAAGGGAGAGGGAGTGGGGACAGTGGGAGAGAGAGGTAGTGGGAAAGAGAATGAAAGGGGAGAATGGGAGACAGAGGAAGTGGGGAGATTAAGAGGGAGTGGGGATGATGGGGGAGATAGAGGGAGTGACGAAAGTTGGAGAGATAGGAAAAGGGAGATTTTTGAGAGAGAGAGAGAATGGGGAGAGTGGAAGAGAGAGGAAGTTTGAAGAGTAGGAGAAAAGGGGAGTGAGGAAAGAGGGAGAGTAGTGAGAGTGGAGAGAGAGAAAGAGAGGAGAGAGGAGTGGGGAGATTGGGAGAGAGATGAAGTGGAGAGAGTTAGAAAGACAGGAGTGGGGAGAGTGGGAGAGAGAGGATAGTTGGTGGGAGAGTTTGAGAGAGAGAAGGTGGGGAGGGTGGGAGAGAGAGAGTGGGAGTGGGGATAATGGGGGAGAGTGGGAGAGAGAGAAGTGGGGAGAGGGGGAGAGAGAGGGAGTTGGGAAAGAGTAAGAGAGAGGGAGTGAGGAGAGTTGGGAGAGAGAGAGGGGGTGGGGAGAGAGGGGGAGAGTGGGAGAGAGAGAAGTGGGGAGAGGGAGAGAGAGAGGGAGTTGGGAAAGAGTAAGAGAGAGGGAGTGAGGAGAGTTGGGAGAGAGAGAGGGGGTGGGGAAAGAGAGAGAATTGAGAGAATGGGAGGGGGGTGAGGAGAGTGGGGAAAGAGAAGGAGTGGGCAGATTAGGTGAGGTTGGATAGCGGGAGAGAAAGGAAGAGAAAGAGGGTGTGAGGAGAGTGAAAGAGAGAGGGAGTTTGGAGAGTTGGAGAGAGAGAGGGAGTGGGGAGAGAGAGAAAAGAAGCGGGAAGAGTGGGAGTGGGGGTGAATAGGGAGTTTTGAGAGTGGGTGAGAAAGGGAGTGAGGAGAATGGGAGAGAGAGGGAGTGGGGAGAGAAAGAGGGAGTGAGAAAATGAGGGAGAAAGGGAGTGGGGGAGAAAGGGAGTGGGAAGAGTAAGAAAGATTGGCAAGAAAGGGAGTTGGGAGAGAGAGGAGAGAGTGGGGGGAGAGATGGAGTGAGATGAGTAGGAGAGAGAGGGACTGGAGAGAAAAGAAATGGGGGGGGGAGAGGGGGGGGGGAATAGGGAGAGAGAGAGGAGTGGGAAGACAGGGGGAGACGGGAGGAAGAGGTAGTGGGGGAGAAAAGGAGAGTTGGCGGGAGAGCGAGGGACTATAAGGAGAGTGGGGAAGAGAGAGGGAGTGGGGAGAGGAAGGGAGGGGGAGAGTAAGAGTGGGAAGAAAAATGGGAATGGAAAGAAGAGCTAGAGTAGGAACGAGAGTGCGATTGGGGAGAGTGAGAATGACGAAAAAGAGCTTAAGAGAGTGTGAGTGGGGAGAGGAAAATGGAAGAGGAAAGAGAGAGGAGTGGGGAGAGAGTAGGAGTTAGGAGAGAGTGCGATTTGGGAAAGAGAGAGAGAGTTAGAAGGGGAGTGAGACAGTGGGGATGGGGAGCAAGAGAATGGGGAATGAGAAAGAGAGAGTGCGATAGCGCTATGCATATGGAGTTTAATTAGAGAGAGTGGGAGTGGGGAAAAAGAAGGGAGAGAATGAGGCGTGGGAGTAGGGACAACGAGTGGGAGTAGGAGAGAGAGAGTGGGATTGAGGAGAGAGAGTGGGATGGAGGGAGGGAAAGAGTGGCGAGAGAGGGAGTTGGGAGAGAGCTTGGAGAGATATAGTGGGAGTGGAGAGAGAAGGTATTGGAGAGAAAAAAGAGTTAAGGGAAGGAGAGAATAAATTGGAGAATGGGAATGTGGATTTAGTTAGAGGCAGGGAGTGGGAAGAAATGGAAATTAGGGTAGGGAAAAGAGAAAGTGTGTTGATAGTGAGTAGGAGCTCGTTTGGCTTGAGAAAAATAATGGAGAGGGGTTGGAGAGAGGGGAGAGAGATATAGAGGGAGTGGGGAGAGAGAGAGAGAGAGAAAGAGTGGGTGGGAAGAGAGAGAGAGAGAGAGAGTGGGATTCGGGAAAGAGGAATGAAGGGAGTGAAGAGAGAGAGAGTTTGAGTGGAGAGAGAGAGAGTGGGGAGAGAGTAGGAGTGGCAAGAGAGGGAGTAGGGAGAGGATGCTGGGAGAGTGGGAGTGGAGAGAAAGAGAGAAGAAACATCGATATCATTAGAGCCTTCCTATGAAACATATGGAGATAAAGAACAGTATCCAAGATCAAAAGTCCATAAAACAATACAAAACAGGAGCAGAGCAAACACGGATCTTCAAATCATCAGAGGTGGGATCAGGTGCCATGGAGGAGTTTGCATCCCCTGCCGACGGTCACACCCGCCGTGTACTCCTTGTCATGATCGGGAAATAACGGAAAAATCACGTTTATCATAGAGCTTGGTTGTTAGATTACCATTAATGTCTTTTTCAAGTAAAATATCCAAGTATGAAACAGATGTGTCAGACTCAGTGGTTTCCTTTGACTGGGATAATAAGAACACTTTGTATTATTATTAATAATCTATTAATGTAAAGTAAGTTATAATTTGATATTTAACTCTACAGCTGAATATGGTGTAAATGAATATGATGCAGATCAGCCGTATGATGCCCCCAAAACAAATGAGTTCAATAATTGATTTGATGTGTGCATCAATTGTATGTAAATACTTTCAAAAGTCCGTTTTAATAATATACAGATTAAAGGGTAGAGCAGAAACATTATTTTAAAGTGGGATTTGGTATAATGGAGTATAGCTAGTGAAGGTTTCGTCAAAGGTCAACATGTCTAAAAAATTATTTTTACAATAGCTCCAAAACTATATGTGGTATAAAGTCAAAACGTTTAGAGTTTATAAATATGTCATTGATTAATAAATAGAAAGTATCACTTGATAACAAATATTTTTAAAAAGATATTTTTTGAGAAAAAATTTATCAGAAAATGTGCATATTTAAAGAAAAATGCACCTGCTTAATTCTGTCCTTTTTGTGAAAACCAACATTGTAGAAATAATATATGTTTATCATTGAAGGGCAAGTTGGACGTGAATGGTCTCTGAAAGGCTGTTATTGAAAGCATGACATGTAAAAAAAACAAGACCCCTATAGAATCGGCCATTTGCAATGTACTTTCACTTTCAAGTCTTAACATTTGGACAAAATAAACAGGGAAAACAACTTTCCAGAGGCTATCCAAGTCCAACTTGCCCTTCATTGATAAACATATTTTGTTTCTGCAATGATGGTTTTCACTAAGAGCACGGAATTAATTAGGTGAATTTTTTTTGAAAATATATGCATTTTTAAGAAGAATTTTTCTCAATTAATATCATTTTTTTTTATCAAGAGATACTTTCTATCTGTTAATCAATGAAAAATTTATAAAGTGTAAAAGATTAAACTTTATACTTCACAAAGTTTTGGGGCTATTGTAAAAATAAATTTTAGGACATGTTGACCTTCGACGATCGAAACCTTAACATTTCCTATTGACTGGTCACATCCCTATTGGTCCTATGCATTGATCATGTAGGCGAATGATCCCGTAGTCGAAATTCATTTTAAAACAAGCTACTTATTCAGAGAATCTGTGTCTCCTGTTGAGGGTAAAAAGAAGAGCCCCGTACCCTGAATTTGTAGAATTATTAAATTTATACATTTTAAAGGGTTTGAAGCAAGTAAAAAAAATGCCAATATAGATATAAAAATTTAATTGTCTATTCTTTATTATGTGTTTAGAGCACTCTTTATATAGAATATTTATCACACTGTAATTTTGTACAAACGGACGTCATAACGATTTCATTTCATACGTTTAATAGTTTCATTTAATAACCCCTCCCCCCAGAAAAAATAAAAAAAAAGGATCATACAGAATTTGAACCCGAGATCTTGCACATAATATACGAGTCAAACCCCTACACCACGAAGGTACTTGCATATGCAGCATAGTAAAAAAAAAAATGTTTAGTGTATATTCACGTTCAGTATTGTCAAAATTTTACATAATACATGATGTCTAATTTCGCCTTTACTAAACAGTTCTAATATATGTAATAAGAATATAAAGCCCGCCGACAACCTGTATTATACATAATAACTCTCTTCATGCCCCTGTGCTGAAAATTGTGCCAAACGACTTTAATACAATAAACAATAATTTAAAAAAAAAAAACGGGGCGGGACACTTTGAGAGGGGTGAGGGAGAGAGGCCCTAGGAAGTTATGGTATAAGATTTCCTAAAATTTCATTGCAAAAGCTCAATAGCTCCTTGAGATATCGCCCGGAAACGAAAGTGTTACACACAGACGGAATGTATAAATTACGACCTTGAACCTTGACAGGTGACCTTTAAGGCCCGTGGGTCTCTTGTATTTATTAATGTTTAATCAAGGAAGTTATTTAAAGGTATTGAAATCAAAAAATAAAAACTACAGTTGTATTTTTAATGTCGTATATGAATGCATAAAAGTTTGTTTATTTAGAAAACAAGGTGACCTAATCTGAGAGAAAAATGAGAATAAACAAAGAGTTTTCATCGTCACATCATGCACACCTGTGCCTGAACAAAGATACGCATAATGTCATTGACAATATAAAGTCTTAAAAATAAAAAAAAAAGAATGAAACAACTATAAGAATAAATTTATTTGCCATGAAAAGAAATAAGCCAATACGTCATACAGCAAAAAATTAATATTCAGTCTGTAAAAAAAAAAAAAAGATAATCTACGATAAAAAGATTCTCTTTTTTAAAAAAAGCCCAAATATTTGCAAAGTTCAAATAATAGGATCTCTGTTATTGACGAAAAAACCTTTAGACTACATGTGTATATAAAAAAAAATAAAATAGCTTAAAGTGATTGTCATGAAATATATTCAAATAAGTCATTATCACAGACAATGAAATGAAAGACATGGTAGTAAAAGTCTCTGAGAATATCACAGATTTTTTCTTCTCAAGGAATCAGAACAGTTCTTCGTGATGTTGTAATTGTTTGTCGTAACACAGGGGTTATTTCAGCAATTATGACTGCATGAGATAAGTTGAGCAGCACTAGGACCAAAAGTTAAGAAAACCTCGGGTCTTCCGGTGCAGACTGATTCCAGCAGCTGTAAGGTGACAATCCACCAAACAGGTCGTCCATGTTGACAGTGGGTATAGATTTTGTCATCTGGAAAACAGAAAAGATGTTGTTTTTTTTTTTAGATGTTATACAATGTATATAAAGTAAAATCGATGGACGCTGAATTGGACCCCCAAGTCTTCAATTAATCTTTTGAACTTGTATGAAAACATTCTAAAATAGTTTCACATTTTATAACTAATAAAAAATATAATTCAGCCGTTAGAAATTACTAATAAAAAGTGTTAAATGGGACCTACAGATTGGCACGTGCTTCTTTCCTCGCTTACGCTGGTGCCAGTTTGAGGAGCTTGGTTATGATTCTTGCTTTTGAGTTCAGCCTGTCTAGCTATCTGCTCAGCCAGAATCTTAAAGAAAATTGTATGCATGTACTTATATTTATTTCTCACAATTAGTAACAATTATCATTAGTTATGACAAAATCATACACTTTAAGCTTTACAATAGTTACCTGATCAAATGTCTGGTTGTGACTCTGTACATCAGTATGCTTCTGATACATTGCGTCATGATTTTGGTGACGCTTTGTGGCATGCGTCTGTTGACGCTCGTCTTTGTTGTAGCGTCTGTACAATGCGTCACATCTTTGCTCCTGATTTACAGAGTGACGACTTTCTGTCGAGTATTGTTCAGCAATCATTGACTGTAAGACAAACCACTTAATATTAATTTTATTAATACACAATATACTGTACAAGTATAACTGTACATCTTAAATAATAAACGTAAAATTCCACTTTAGCAAAGTAATTTTTCTAGCTACATTATTCTGAGCTACAGATTCCTAACATTGATTTCATTTCTTTATTTCTCTTTGTCAGAAGAAAAAATTCTTCAAAAAAGGTTTTAGTGGCTGATACTTCAGAGCATGATCGAAAATCCCTCTTACCCAATTACATGCCCGTTTGTCTGGATTCTCAGCCAATGTAGAACCAGACCCTGGTCTTTTGTTATTTGTTGGTTGGTCTGTGACTGACTTTGAAATGGGCGCAGTGAATGTAGCTGATCTAGACGTAGCATTAATTACAGATTCAGTTGATGCAGGTCCTTGTAAGGACTTTGATGACTTGTTAGTTGGGTCCCAGCCTTTTGGAGCAAAGCTTGGGACATATCTTTGACGTTCAACATTTGCTGCCAAATGCTTATTCTATATAAAGAAATAAATATTACATTCAATGTAGTGATATTCTTATTAATCATTTAAAAAACATATTAATATTTCTCCTTCTCTAACATCAAAAGAAAGTTGAGGCTTTAGGATTTTATGTTAAACCATTCATAGAATAACTTTCATGAGTTTAAAACGAACATTCAGGCATTAATACAAATCTTAATGTAAAAAAATTGATATTTAATCTAAATCATATATGGCTTTTGTATACTTCAAGTTATTAATTAAAAGTACTCACCATCTGAGTGTGTGAGGCCGCCTGGTGTCTCTCACTCCTCCGATTGGTCAAATGAACCTGTCGTCTCTCACTCATCTGATTGGTTATATTTGCCTGGTGTCTTTCGCTCATTTGATTGGTCACATTCAGTGTGGACTTTTTAGCCTCTGATACAGTGTCAGTTTTTGATGACTGTTTGTCAGCTGACACAGCCGTCCTGAACTCTCTAGCTTGTGAGTTAGTTGTCTTGGATTCTTGGTCAAAAGTGTCATTTGTTGGTGCGTCCCATGCTGGTAAGACCCTCCTTGCCGACTCTCGCTCTGGTTGAGAATCCGCCGTTTTTTCCTCCCGAGCTGGTGACCTAGTTCTGGGTGATGAGGGAGGACTGTCCAGATAACTGGTTAACCCCAGGTCCTCCAGTGTGGGAGTGGGGTGGTACATTAGTGTCAGGTAATCTGGAGGGGCGTACCTGTTGATCGGCTTCACCTGAGGCTGAAATTATTTACGGAATAATAAATTCCCTGACAATTTAACAACAAAGAAATAAATGTTAAATCGGTAATTCCATATGACTTAAAGATTTACATGTTATAATTTTAAATTTTCATGATTTTTGCAAAATACTTTACCTCTTTACGCACCACTCTCTGCTGATGTTGCCGTGCATGTTGAGGTATGTGAGAAGCAACTGTGCTCATAGTATTTGGATGCGTAGGATGCACTCTCTGCTGAGATTGCTGTGCATGTTGGGGTTTGTGAGAAGCAACTGTGCTCATAGACTCAGTCCTTGTATGTGGATGAGTAGGATGCACTCTGTGTTGCTGGGGAATGCTGTTCACATTCACATAATTAGGTCTTGTCTGAGTTTGATACCCATGTGGGCGAGAAGGTTGCGCATGTTGCGGCTGATATGAGTTGCTGCTAGGTACCACGCCTGTCCTATAATGAGTTTGTTGCTCATGAGGACGATGGACCGGTGCATATTGCGGTCGGTAGGTGGCAGCAGTATTCACAAATGCAGATCTTTCATTGTATCTGTTTTCATGAGGATAGTTTTGTCTGAAATGTTCTTTCTGCTGAGACTGAGGCTAAAATAAAAACAAGATTGTTACAGTTTGTTGACAACGAAAATATTACATATATCGTAAATGATTCTGTTTCAGATATAAGAATGGGGAACTAACAAAATATTTTAACTGACCCACTGTTGTCCCACTTTGTCGGGTCTTTGTGTGGGCGTGGTGGTCAGGGGAGCTGTGTGGCTCGCCTGCTGAACAGGACGCTTCTTTGGTGGCCCAGCCTGTAAGAGAATAAAGATAAAGAGTTTTATTAAGTGTCATTGCCATGTTTGAAGGAAAAAATGAATTAAAAATCCATGAATTCCCTCTCTGTTTTGAACAATTTTACTATCATTAATAACAGAATAGAAGCTACTGTAATTTTAAAAAATTATATTTCATTTGTGCAATCTATTCAATCAACATCTCCTCATTCGTGAGGTAATGAAACTTACATTTCATTCAGATTTACGATACATGTAACATGTACATAAATAAGAATACTGAGACCTCCTCAGTCTGTCCGGAAGTAGAGGACGGGGCCAAAATGTCCAGTCCCAACCTCTTGTAAAAACTCGAGGCATCTTCCGGGGCAGGGCAGGAAACATCGACTCTTTTCTGAAATGGATATTAAAAAGATCTTTATTTGACTTGTGCATTCGTGTTTTATGTAAGTATGTGTATTACAAATCAAGACAATCCGAATTGTTAACTATAGTTCAGGGTTTGTAAACTATAGTTTACAGTCGATAAACCTAGTTTATCAACTGTGAAACTATGTTTAGCTATTTTTTGTGATATTGGCGTGCAATATACCCGGTATTTAACTACTTTATCAAACAATCACATTTCTTTAATATTGTATTGCAATACAAAACTAGTAATAAATCCTTATTCCTCGTGCAAATATTTGTTCATTATTTTCATTATTTTCAATTTTCGATTCAAACTTAGAGGACCTTTTTTCCCTTTGAAATCTAATAGTAATAAAACGACAACACAAGCGAGGATCTGGATTAGGGGGGGGGGGGGGGGGGGTTGGACCCCATCCGCGAAATTTGTGGAATTATAAAATATACATACTGAATAATTACAAATTGACCCTGGAATCCCTTTTCCCTAGAAAACGCAGACTACTCAATGTTAAGAAATTGGAAAATGTTGTACACGTAAAAGTGTTCAGACCCCCACCCCCCTTTTCCCAACTCATCCACATCACTTTCACTAATCAGATTTTTACGCTTGGCAAAGTAGTTAAGGGTTTTTAAGTGATTCGTAAGTAACTTAAAATTATTTATAATTTTTTTAATTTTAACCTAGCCCCCAAACCCTTTCCGGAAAAAAACCTTAATCAATCTGCCTTTGCAACACAACGTCACTCAGGCAACGGTTACCATGACGTCGTCATTGACAAAACCAAACATTGCAACTTAATGTATGCAAAATACCTCTCCAAAAGAACATCTCTAGCTATAACACAATATAGCTTAGCTGCTGACTAAAATCAAACAATAGGATAACTCTCGATTGTCAAAATATTTAAAGTTTGCGGGATTTTTAACCCTAGAATTTGAATATCAGTTTATTTCGCGGAATTTATTAATGTAAACATAACACGTCGATTAGATAAAAAACAATGGAATGAACCAAAAAAATAACAAATTTCATTTAAACTTTGGTTATCTTCCTTTATTAAAGTTATAAAGTTATTTTCCATTGATTTTTAAAGAGGCAACTGGGAGAGGAGAGTGTTTATAAGCCTTTGTATATACGTTGGACCTCTAGCTTTTACAGTAAATCGCTTGTTAAGCTATTCCTACAAAGTAACCCACAAAAATAACATGGCAAATCTTGGCATTACCCTCTTATGATCACTTTTATTCATCTTCAAGACTTGACTTGCTCTTTTGACAGTAGAAATTTCGTAAAATATTCGCTTGACTGAAAACACGTCTTTTCTCTTTGACTTGTGCTTCAAAACTGAGCAGTAACTACAACAGACAACGTCAGGCCAAGCAACTGCAACGTCACAAACGATAATGAGGGCCAATAAAACAAGGCGGTCTATCAACATCCCACCCTCACACCAAAAGCCCCCCCCCCCCTCTTCACTAGGCCCCTACCAAAGTAAACCACAGACCGGTAGGCTTATGCTTATTGGCCGATTTCTTACTGGTCAGTTGTTGACACGATTCTGCATTTTAAATTTTCGATTCAAATAAACATTCACCACACTTGAATCACTGTGACTTACCTCCTCTTAGACCTCTATCCTAAAGGTCGATAGTTAATGAGATGAATTTATATAACACCCATTTTCAAACAAGATTTTCTAGATATTATCATTGTTTATATTGTGGACAAAAAAATGTCGACTGCTCATTGAAAGGGGAGTCACTCTAAATAAAATAATAAAAATTCGTAGGAGTTATCTTTCTTACTACGTATGGGAACTTGAGTTCCCCCTAGCTGCAATAATGTAGCCCCCCCCCCCTCTCTCTCTCTCTCTCTCTCTCTCTCTCTCTCTCTCTCTCTCTCTCTCTCTAAGAAATAGATTGACAAAAATCGAGAGGACTACGTTATTGTGGTTTGAATTATTCGAGTGGATCAGAATAACAGAACACAGTCACATAATCATTGTATCAGTATATCAAATATATCAACATTGATATATTTCTAGTGTTTAACAAACCATATTCAACATCAAAAGAGTCAATAATTATATATAATTGTACTCATAATATTTCTGTATATTTACATTTCCAATGTATTTATTCGAGATAAAATTGCAAATAGTAAATATTATACAATCATTGCTGTTTTTTGAGGTCAATACAATGATTTAGCCATCTGAGGTGTACAATATTCACCGAGCCCGAAGGGCGAGGTGAATATAGTACTACGAAGATGGCTAAATCATTGTATTGACCAAAAAAAAAAAAAACAGCAATAATTGTTTTATTATATGATTCAGTGATAAAATGATACAGCTCATTACTTGTTAACTTGCATTTAATTAAGTCCTAGCCAAATACAAGAGAGAAACATAATTAAAATGTGAATAAACCTTATCAGTCGTATCAATTTGAAATGGGTCTTTTTATCAATTTTAGTTGCCATGAAAAAAATAATATAATGTCAGTCTTTTTATAGGATAGATTTTGGAAGGAAGGAGTATTATCACTCAGGGAAAACTGACTGCCAAAAAGTAAAAAAACATGTTGTTCAGTAAAAGTGTTGGAGGGGGGTCCCTGCATCCCCTCTTACCACCCTCACCCTAAAATATATATTCGATTATGTTTTTTTTCACATGAAAAAAAATCACAGTCGTTTAAATAGCTTTACAAAACAATTTGTATCAATTTGGAATTTCCCGATCTATTTTTAGATCAATGTAGAGGAAATAAATCCTTGTATTGACCTGGAATGTCACGTGCAGGTCAATACGACGTAGTATTTTTCTAACATAGTTGGATCTCAGCCAATCAGAGAGATGTAAATTATTCAATCATATAATAAACTTATTTCTACATCAATCTACTGGATCATCGTTAGGCGCGGTTAAATAACGTGCGGGACAAATAGAGACAGAAGCAGGGCTTGCAGAACCTGGATTTGCTGAATCAAGAACATGTAAATAAAGGACACAACTGTCCGATTTTTTTTTTATTTCATGACGATGACCAATCGATTGTCTTGCACCATATGTGTCGGAAATGGGGGGGGGGGGGGGGGTTATTCCGAAGTTCAAAGTTTTATTGAATTACCTACAAATAAATTTTTGAACGAGAAGATATTGCCGATTTGTTTCTTCTGATAGGTGGGGCTACCCCCCCCCTTTTTTTAAAGATAGACATGATATAAGCATTGAATATTGGGGCTTCCTTTTTTTTGTTGGTTTAGCCCCCCACCCCTTCAATTAGCCACCCCACTTTCAATTTGCTACCGACGCCCATATGCATGAAAATTTAATGCATAAGCATAATTAGACATTTATTTCTTGAAAACGAATAATTACCGCCATAGAAAAATGACCGGGTGTCATTTTTCGACGGCAATTTCCCGAAGAGAAAGTGACATCACCCTAAAAATCTGCGAACCCCACGTGAACAAAACTTGTATTGAAGCGCATAATGAAGGAGCTAATATAATGAAGTCTATTTTTAATTAGATTATTTTAGGGGGCAAAATAAGAATAATAGATCAAGAGATCTTTTGGCCAAAATGCTCATGAAAGTGCATTGAGAATGAATTACCTTTTTTTAAAAAAAAAAAAAAACTAGCTGAAGATCTGTGGCTCTCCGGAAAAAAATAACAGACCGGAGAACTAGCTCCAGAACTGTAGCTCTCCGGAAAAAAAATTGACAGACTGGAGAGCTGCAGTGCCACCCATTGTAAAAACTGACTATATTTATTGTTTACCATACTGAACATACTAATTCAGTTTGTATTTCTTAAAAGAAGCGCCATAGATCTAAATATTTATAGATTTACGGTTATGTATTCACTTCTAAAAATACAGACTCTTGAGTAATTTTCAAAACTAAGGAAAAGAGAGCTTTTATTAAAAAAGAAAATCACTTATCTTCATGACAACATAATGAGAGGTCATAATTGAAATTGAAAAAAAAAATGTACGATTGTCACGTTTTCTTCCGTTTAATCTTTTATTGTAAATGAATATGTACAGGAAAAAACGTTATGTCATTCTTGAAGCAACCTGCAAGAATAGGTTGGTAAATGGAAAATTTAGTTTATGATAAAACCTTAAGAGATAAATTAAGATATGGTTAATTACATGTAAGTATTACTAATATTCTGAATGTTCCAGTAGAATGGAGAGGGTGGAGTGTCTACATATTATTTCAGTAAGCAGTTGAATAGACCAAACAAACCCAATCGAACAAAATCTTAATTTTTACTTTCAATTTTTTTTTCAACTTCTATCTTTTTTGTTATAATGAAATTATTCATCTAGAGAACAATGCGCATTCAATCAAAGTTTTACTAACATAGAAAATATACATTTTACATCGAGAAAAGGATGCACTTTATGTTTCTATCAGTGACGTTGATTTCTGTGACGTCACAATTGCTTTTCATGTTAGAAAGCGCCGAGTCGAAATCGATGAATGCTTATCAAAATACATTTTTTATCTGACAGTTTGATGAAAACAATGGTAAGTTTGATTTTATCAATATTTAGATTACGATAATTAAATTTTAAAAAATATAGCCGTTGTTATGAATTTCAATAAAACGTTTTAGAATTGTTTTCTTAAATGATGTAGCTATACAAACAGCTGTGAAATTATTTATGTTTTTTAATAAGAAGAAAATAACTTTTAGCTATTATAATTTTTCCCTTAATTTTTAATGTTTTTACGTGAGACGGTTATTTTTAGCATCTTTAAATAATATTTATAAAAGATATGTATACATCTGATCAATTATTGAACATCAATGAAAAAAAACACAATTTTCATCGGGTGCGGTTAGAGGCGTTTCTATGATGACTTTTTTCTATTATGACGTCATAATTGTTTCGACGTTAGAATGCATCTAGGGTTGTTGATCACCAAGTAGATCTATATATAGGTTTGCCAAAGTAAAGATGATGGTAAACAGATTTAAACATTATTTTTTTTATTAATATTAATTTTTAAAATGTGTAACATTCATAATAAATAATGTCAAGATAGTTTTCACCCTAGGATGTGAAAGAAGGAAAAGAGTACCGAAATGGTAGAAAAGCCATACCTGAGAAGATTTTAAAGGTAATTTCCTTTCTTTCATTTACTTCATTAAAAGACTGGACAGATTGGAGTAAGTTGCTGAGATTTTTTCAAAGGTCAATTTTTTGTTTTGCCGTTTATGTTGTATTTGATTTATATTTTGGTGTATTCACAGATTTATCTTCCGGACTGTGAAACCATAGCAAGAGAGCTGTGGAGGATCAAAGAATACGCAGAAGAATTGGACACAATTCAGGTAAGAAAAATAGTATTCTGTCAAAATGTTAAATATGCGTATGTCTATTTTGAGTGATTTTCAAAAAGGATAATATCTTCATGATACCGGTATTCTAGTCTAGAAAATTTTAGACTAAATGTCGAAATATTGAACACAGGTGTATTTCACTGTTATTGGTATCAAAAGCAAAATTTTTGATACTTATTTTACTAAAACCGGTAATTTTTACCACAAAAGAACTTGAAAACAAAACATTGCAGAAAATAATTTATTTAAACCAATGTTTCATTTATTTCAAGGAGGAAACAGGGGTAGAATTGAACGAAGGAAGCATTGGAGAAGACCTCAGACCAGAGTTTGCCAGCGGATTGATTTAGAGTATCTGAATTGGCTGGCTGGAAAATTTTCTCACCTTGAGGTAAGGAATTTAAAGATAGAAATACTGAAATTCAGCAGATATTTCTAAACGAAAGTAAAATGTAACAATGCTAATGGCACAAAACCTCTGTATTTTGAATTTCACTAAGTTTTTCATTTGGCCATAATTTCCCAGAGCTTTAAAAATCATAGTATCTAAAAAGCTTCAGCTAAAGAGTATCATTTTAGCCATTTTCACCAGGAAACGCAGAACATGTTTATTTCTTCCGTCGATGGAGTGGATGACTTCAGATATTATGCGCCTTGGCTTGAGACACTCTATGTAAGTATCTTCCATTATGCTTATATTCAACTTAAAAGAAAAACAATTTAAAGTTCCTGATGTTTTTAATTTCTTAAACAACGAGAATATATTTGCCATTTCACAGATGCTAATTACGTAGCGCCGAGAATGCCACGCCTTACTGAAAGTCCAATCTTACATGGAAATAGTTCTATCTTACCGGTATTACATGACTGATCCCAGAATACACTCATTAAGCTAGATTTAAAGTAAAGACCAGAAAATTATTGGCACGATTTATGAATGTTACCTATGATTTTTTTTTATTTTTAGAGGAAGGATAGAGAAGACAAGAAGAGATCTCCTGGTTTCCTCTCCCGATTTTCTCGTTAGACTTCTCCATCTTTGAACTTTGCAGCCTTTAAACCTCGCACCTTCGAAGTTCTTTCACCATCTTCACCATTTTCTAGTGATCCAAAGAAACTTTTTTACGAATAGTACCATTGTGGAACATATTTCATACTTTTTTAGGAATTAACCCACCGGATCATCTATTAATTCAAATGAAGCTTCATCATGTTCATCTATTTATTTCATCACGAATAAATTATTTTATATGAAATTTTATTGCCTTTGGTTTTGTCTATGCAAGAAGATTCATAGAAGATTTAGAAGTAGAATTAATCTTCTAATTTATAGTATTTCTATAGGATCAACTTAAAATAAAATTCATTTTGCATTTTTAATACAGACTTATCTTCTTAATCAAGGTATTATCTTTTAATCCAGGAGTCGCCAGTGTGGCGCTGTAGTTAGAGCGTCTGCTCTAACGTCGCAAGTATAGTAGTTGAAGTGAAAAATCCGTAGATGTGTAGTTAAGGAGTTCAGTGAAAATATTCGCTATTTTTTCGTTAAATGTTATTTTCTACTACTTTTCTTTTCTCTGTGATACAAAAAACAAAAGTAGTTAATACTATGGACCGCCAATATTCTAATATTTTTATCTTAGATCCCCAGCTATATAAATTTAACGAATTCCGTACACGGATATAACGAAATACTGATATAGCCATGTAATTTCAGAGGTCCCAGTGATTTCATTATAACCGAGCTGTACTGTAGAAACAGGACTAAGACAGACGGACACTTAAGAGGGCTGGGTGGTTGTGGTCATTTTATCTCCTTTAGAAGAAGAGCTCTATATCAAGATATACAGTATAAGCATACAGTATAAGATGCAGGATTAAGACAGACGGACACTTAAGAGGGCTTGGTGGTTTACAGTGGTCATTTTAGACTATTTTTATCTCCTTTAGAAGAAGAGCTCTGTATCAAGATATACAAAAATGATTAAATATTAAAACTAAAATGTATTTTACTTTCAATTTGCTAAATGATAGTTGACAGCTTTTAAAGATGTCGTATCTAAAAAAAAAATGAAGCTATACATGATGGTTAATTTGATGACCCCCAGCCTCCTTAACAAATGATCTGAAGAGTCCGCTAGGTATTTAACGCAGAAATGTTTTTAATGATATATTTAAATTAGTCAATTTACCAATAAAAACTCATTGAAATGTTTTGAATATCATTTATTTATGATTAATCAAAGTTAAATTTTATATCAAAACAAATCTAATTGCAAAAACAAGATTTCATCGTAACATCGGGCACACAGTGCCTACAAACATTGTCATAGACAATTTATAGTTCTTAGAAAATGAAAAATAAATATATAAGAAAATTTTGGCTGTCATGAAAAAATAATCCAATATGTCAAACACTAAAAAAAAAGAATTAAAAATTGCCTTAGACAATTTGAAGTCTTCAAAAAAGGGGGAAAATTATTTATAGAATAAAAAGACTTTCATGATGAATTCCAACGCACGGATTCACTTTACAAAAATAAAAATTCTGTTAATGATAATATATTCAATTTTTCCATAAAAATATATTTAAAAAATAAATAAATAAATAAATGGATATCAACTGTCATGAAAAAATATCAAAACACCGCAATATCACAGACATTGTAATGAAAGACATGGTAGTTAAAGTCTCTGAAAATATCACTTCTGGTATCAAGAGACCAGGACCAGTTCCTTGTAGTGTTTTATTTCATGTATGTCGCAACACAGATGGTATATGCCGCAAAACAGATGGTTATGTCGCAAATATCTTCGCCAAAGCAAAGAAAGATAAATGAAGAAACCGGAAGTTATGAAAACCTCGGGTCTTCCGGTGCCGACTGATTCCAGCAGCTGTAAGGTGACAACCCTCCAAACAGGTCGTCCATGTTGACAATGGGTAAAGATTTTGTCATCTGAAAAGCAGACAATATAATTTGGTTGTGTTTTTTTTTCAATAAGTTACATATGTATAAAAGTAAAAGCATAAACAGAAAAAATTTGACTTCCAAGCTTGATGTAAAGTTGTAAACTTTAAACTTGTATGTATAATTTAAAATATTTGTACATCAAATAAAAACAGGATGACTATATTTTTTGTTAGAAGTTACTATTGTGTAATATAATTGGGACTTACAGGTTGGCACGTGCGTCTTTCCTCGTTTACGTTGGTGTCAGTCTGAGGAGCTTGGTTATGATTCTTGTTTTTGAGTTCAGCTTGTCTAGCTATCTGCTCAGCCAGAATCTTAAATAAAATTGTATGCATGAAAATATATTTATTTCTCGCAATAAGTAACATTTTATCTTTGTTTATTCCAAAATCATACACTTTAAGCTTTACAACAGTTACCTGGTCAAATGTCTGGTTGCTACTCGGTGCATCAGTATGCCCCTGATATTGCATTGCATCATGATTTTGGTGACGCTTTGTGGCATGCGTCTGTTGACGCTCGTCTTTGTTGTAGCGTCTGTACAATGCGTCACGTCTTTGATCCTGATTGACAGAGTGACGACTTTCTGTCGAGTATTGTTCAGCAATCATTGACTGTAAGACAAAACACTTAATATTAATTTTATTAATACACAATATACTGTACAAGTATAACTGTATATCTTAAATAATAAACGTAAAAATCCACTATAGCAAAGTAATTTTTCTAGCTACATTATTCTGAGCTACAGATTCCTAACATTGATTTTATTTCTTTATTTCACTTTGACAGAAGAAAAATTCTTCAAAAAAGGTATTAGTTGTTGATACTTCAGAGCTAGGTCGAAAATCCCTCTTACCCAATTACATGCCCGTTTCTCCGGATTCTCAGCCAATGTAGAACCAGACCCTGGTCTTTTGTTATTCGTTGATTTAACATCAGGGGGTGTGACTGACTTTGAAATGGGCGCAGTGAATGTAGCTGATCTAGACGTAGCATTAATTACAGATTCAGTTGATGCAGGTCCTTGTAAGGACTTTGATGACTTGGGAGTTTGGTCCCAGCCTTTTGGAGCAAAGCTTGGGACATATCTTTGCGGTTCAACACTTGTTGCCAAATACGTATTCTATATAAAGAAATAAATATCACAGTCAATCTAGTGATATTCTTACTAATTATTTGAGAAATATATTAATATTTCTCCTCCTTTAACATCAAAAGAAAGTTGAAACTTTAGGCGTTTATGTTAAACCATTCATAGAATAACTTTCATTGGTTAAAATAAACATTCAGGCAGTTAAAACAAACAAAATAAAAATCTTAATGTACATTAATTTTTTTTTTTGACATTTAATTGTATTATGGCTTTTATATACTTCAAGTTATTAATTAAAAGTACTCACCATCTGAGTGTGTGAGACCGCCTGGTGTCTCTCACTCATCTGATTGGTCAAATTCGTCTGGTGTTTTTCACCCATCTGATTGGTCAAATGTGCCTGGTGTCTCTCACTTATCTGATTGGTCACATATGCCTGGTGTCTCTCACTCATTTGATTGGTCACATTTGCCTGGTGTCTCTCACTCATTTGATTAGTCACATTTGCCTGGTGTCTTTCACTCATTTGATTGGTCACATTTGCCTGGTGTCTTTCACTCATTTGATTGGTCACATTTGCCTGGTGTCTTTCACTCATTTGATTGGTCACATTTGCCTGGTGTCTTTCACTCATTTGATTGGTCACATTTGCCTGGTGTCTTTCACTCATTTGATTGGTCACATTCAGTGTGGAGGTTTTAGCCTCTGATACAGTGTCAATCTTTGAGGACTGTTTGTTAGCTGACACAGCTGTCCTGAATTCTGTAGCTAGTGAGTTAGTTGTCTTGGATTCTTGGTCGAAAAAGTCATCTGTTGGTGCATCCCATGCTGGTAAGACACGCCTTGCCGACTCTCGCTCTGGTTGAGAATCCGCCGTTTTTCCCCCCGAGCTGGTGACCTAGTTCTGGGTGATGAGGGAGGACTGTCCAGATAACTGGTTAACCCCAGGTCCTCCAGTGTGGGAGTGGGGTGATACATTAGTGTCATGTAATCTGGAGGGGCGTACCTGTTGATCGGCTTCACCTGAGGCTGAAATTAATTACGGAATAATAAATTCCCTGACGATTTTTAACAACAAAGAAATAAATATTATACCGGTAATTCCATACGACAAAAAAATTTACATATTACATGTGTATAATTTTAAGATTTTTCATGATTTTTGCAAAATACTTTACCTCTTTACGCACCACTCTCTGCTGAGGTTGCTGTGCATGTTGAGGTTTGTGAGAAGCAACTGTGCTCATAGACTCAGTCCTTGTATGTGGATGAGTAGGGTGCACTCTATGTTGCTGGGGAATGTTGTTCCCATTCACATAGTTAGGTCTTGTCTGAGTTTGGTACCCATGTGGGCGAGTAGGTTGCGCATGTTGCGGCTGATATGTGTTGCTGCTAGGTACCACGCCTGTCCTAAAATGAGTTTGTTGCTCATGAGGACGATGGACCGGAGCATATTGCGGTCGGTAGGTGGCAGCAGTATTCACAGATGCAGTTCTTTCATTGAATCCGTTTTCATGAGGATAGTTTTGTCTGAAATGATGTGGCGCCTGCCTTTCTTTCTGCTGAGACTGAGGCTAAAATAAAAACAAGATTGTTACAGTTTGTTGACAACGAAAATATTACATATATCGTAAATGATTCTGTTTCAGATATAAGAATGGGGAACTAATAAAAATATTTCTAACTGACCCACTGTTGTCCCACTTTGTCGGGTCTTTGAGTGGGCGTGGTGCTCAGGGGAGCTGTGTGGCTCGCCTGCTGAACAGGACGTTTCTTTGGCGGCCCAGCCTGTAGAGAATAAAGATAAATAGTATTATAAAGTGTCATTGCCATGTTTGATGGAAAAAATAAATTAAAAAATCGATGAAGTCCATCTCCGTTTTGAACATTTTTACTATCATTAAGAACAGAATAGAAGCTACTGTAATTTTAAAATTTATATTTCATTTGTGCAATCTATTTAATCAACATCTCTCATTCGTGAGTTAATGAAACTTACTTTTCAGATTTACGATACATGTAACATGTATATCAATAAAAAAAACTGAGACCTCCTGAGTCTGCCCGGAAGTAGAGGACGGGGCCAAAATGTCCAGTCCCAACCTCTTGTAAAAACTCGAGGCATCTTCCGGGGCAGGGCAGGAAACATCCACTCTTTTCTGGAAAAAAAGATTAAAAAGATCTTTATTTGACTTGTACATTCGTGTTTTATGTAAGTATGTGTATTTACAAATCAAGATGTTTGTATAAAAATGCATACCTGGTATAACTACTTTATCACACGCATTCAAATTTCTTGAATATTGTAAAGCTATGCACAATTGACAAAAAAGTTATTAATCCTTGTTCCTTGTGCAAATTTTCGTTCATCATTTTTCACATTCTTTCAAACTTAGAAAACTATTTCCCTTTGAAATCTGATAATATACCGTACAACACATACGCATATCTAGATGGGGGGGGGGGGTGTCTGGACCCCCTTCCTCGAAACTTGTGGAATTATTAAACATACATACTGATTACTGAAGTTATTACAAAGTGACCTTCGAATCCCCCTTTCCCTAGAAGATGCGGACTACTGTTAAGAAGTTGGAAAAGTCATACAAATGAGGCTTAAAAAGTGAAACTGCTCAGAGCCCCCCCCCTTCCCCACACACTTTCACTAATCACTAATCAGGTTCATTAAGACAGTAGTGTAGTAGACAGGGTGGTTTGTGAGTAACTAAAAATTCATTAATAGATTTTTAATTTTAACCTCGCCCCCAACTCCTTTCCGGAAAAAAAAACCCATTGTCTATGCAACTCAACGTCACTCAGGCAACGGTTACCATGACGTCGTCATTAACAAAACCAAACATTGCAACTTAGTATATAGATCTACAAAAATCTTTTTAAAACAAGATCTCTAGCTATGACAGACACAACTAAATGGATCGAGCGATCAAAAAAGTTCAATGCTGTCTAAATCTCTATTTTACAAACTATTTGCAAAGTTGCATTTTAAACCCTGGAATTTGAATATCAGCTTATTTCGCGGACTTCTTGATGTAAACATAAGACCTCCATTTGATAAAAAAAAAAAAGTAATAAGTAAAAAAAGGCATACGTTGGTTATCTTCCTTTATTAAAATTATTACTGCATTGATTTTAAAGGAGGCAAATTGGAGAAAAGAGTGTTTATAGGCTTAGGCAAATACGTCTGAACTCTAGATTTTATAGTAAAAAGCTTGTTCAGCTATTTGGAAAATTCCTACAAAGTAACCCACAAAAATAACATGGCAAATCTTGGCATTACCCTCTTAAGAGTGCTTTTATTCATCTTCAAGACTTGACTTGCTCTTTTGACAGTAGAAATTTCGTAAAATATTCGCTTGACTGAAAACACGTCTTGTCTCTTTGACTTGTGCTTCAGAACTGAGCAGTAACTACAACAGACAACGTCAGGCCAAGCAACTGCAACGTCATAAAGGAAGACGGGGCCAATGAAACAAGGCGGTCTATCAGCACCCTATCCCCACCCCCACCCCAACGTAAAAAGTAAGATAAAAATATTGTCCCCTTCACCACCAAAGTGAGTATGCATACCACAGGTAGGCCTATTGACCGATTTCATTCAGGTTCACGATTCTGCATTATTCCTATAATCTATAAATTCTTCGATTCAAATAAACTTTCGCCACTCTTGAAGTACTGTGACTTACCTTCTCTTAAGCCTTTTGCTTATAGGTTGATAGCTAATCAAATAAATTCATATAACACCCATTTTCAAACAGAATTATCCAGATATTATCATTGTTTACATTTTGGACAAAAAATGTCGACTGCTTATAAGGGGAGTTACTCTAAATAAAATAATAAAAATACGTAAGAGTTATCTTTCTTGCTAGGTACTTGTACCTTTCGGTATCCTTGCTGCAATATTTTTTTAAATAGTTCCATCTCAAAACAAAAAACAAAAACAAAACAAAACAAACAAACAAAACAAAACAAAACAAAACAAAAACATTCAGATTGAAAAAATAAAACTCGGAGAGGAATGCTGGAGCACAGTCACATAATCACTGTATCAAGGGTTTTTTGTAACAAACTTTTATTTGCTTGAATGTTTTAATGTAAATATTCTTAAAAAGTCTTTATTTTGGAATAATAAATACTATACTAAACTTACTATTTAAAATTTACACTGTAAGCCACGACTCCTCAGTTTTTGTTCTAGCAGAGCCAACATGGTCTATCGGAAGGACTTTGGGTTTTTGTTTGGGGGGTGGGGGTGGATGTGTGAAAAAGAGATGGAACTTACCCAAGCTATAGGCTACTCATACAATGCAAGGCTCCAATTTTAAGTTCGAACCCCGGTCCAGCTGCAGGTTCTTCCCTTCATGTTAAGAAATGTGAAGGGCAGTAGCATCGTTTTTGAAAGTGGGGTAGTGAGGGAGCAAGCAGAGAAAATAATCATCTGACATGTACTTGGGAAAAAAATATTGACAAACAAAATAAAAGGAAAGAAAAGGGGGGAAAAGGGAAAATTGTCCAAATTCGGAAATCCTATTTCCTGGGGGTGTTGGAGAAGGGGTTAGGCTCTACTTCATTCAATACAATACTTACACTGCAACAAAAAGGGAGAAGGAGCCAGTACAATTTCGAAGTTAAAGGTGTTCAAAAAATTGCTACTGTTGCTTAATCTGACCGGTCAAAATTTCTAGAGCACGACGTACACCATTATTCAAGCATTTATTATTATCATTGACCATATTTTATATTATTTCTCCTTGTCGACAAAAAAAAAATCATCAAGCTTCTTTCAAAAGTTAAATTATGATAATTTTTCTTCATTAGAAAAGAAAATGAAATTCATCTTTCAATCTCTGTTGCAAGTACTACAATAAAAATCTTTCATCTGCACATGTAGCACAGATGCTTGTTTCATTAAAAAAAAAATCGCCCATAGCATAATAATAATAAGAATCGCAGGATGATCATAGAAAATGTACTGGCAAACTTTTTATTACCATATATAGGCTTCTACAATAATTTATCAATGCAACCATATATGGCATGCTTGTCTTTATTTTTTTCTTATATTATATCCGTAAATATACCCAAAACTCCTCGTCTGGTAGAAAGCGTATTATACTATGAGACCATCTTTTAAAAAATGTTTGGTGGTTCTCTCCCGACCGTCTGAATAAAAATGACCCGAGTCGAAACATTTTTTTTAACCTCCAGGGGGCAATAATTAATTTTTATATGTACTTTGGAAATTTTAATTTTAAAAAATACATGTAGCATTATTATCAACATTTTCTGAGAAAAAGTTTTCTCATCTACTTACCGACCTAATATTTTCAGACCAAGTCGGAAGAGGGAAAACATCAAGTTTTCCTAAAGTTTCCTAAAGTTGTCCTAAGGCCACATCAATTTAATTTCTTGTTCGTCGGACATTTGTTGAAAAAAGTACGAGCGGGCTAGCGGCTAAATAATAATATTATTACTTTTTTGAAGGCAAAATTTTAAGGCGGGCGTGAAAAAATTTGAGCGGACAATTATATTTTTCTGATTTGCAGTGTAAGTAGATTAAAAGTACGATAAATAGAGCGGAAATATAACAGAAAACAGCACAAAATTCGGGGATTTTTAATTAATATTATTTGTATAGTTTTGTTTAAATAAGAGCGCGCGGGCCCGACGAACAATAAATTTTATTGGTGTGGCCTAAGTTAAACATGTTTAAAAAATTATATATTTACCCAAACAGTTGCTCGTGATTTGTAGGTAAAAACAAATATGTCTCCTTTTCTCTATGGCAAGATTATGTGCACTAAGTCTCAACCTGCTGATATCTAAGATATTAAATAAAAACAACTTAATAAAATTTTAGTTTTTTTTAAATTCTGAATTAATTTTTGCATACTTTTCTTGTAATGTAGGCATTGATCTCATTCTTTGTTTTACAATCCTCATAAGTGTTTCATTGAATGTTCTTTATTAATCAAAGAATATGTATTTATTTTTCAAATAAACGAAATGAGCAGAAGGAAATCCACGAATCTCTCTTATGCATCATTCCGGATCTTTTCACGTTTTCTTTGTCGATTTTATATCATCCCGTTTCCGGTTAACAATGGGTCTGCGCGGGCAGAGTCTTTACTTTTGCTTTCCAAATCCATCAAATGCATGCATTTGTCAAAGAGATTGGTATGTTAAAAGTTAGCTGGGAATCATTTAAACAATTTGTTCATTTCCTTATAAGATATTTCCACGGTCAATCAATATTGGCCAGGTTTGATTTTAGTCACGTGACGTCGAAGTTGATCTTGGCGATTACATCGTACTGTAGGAAGAGTGGCGGATCTCTTTGAATATCGTAGTTTTAATTTGGAAAATAAGCTTTTAAACATAGTTAATTAGAATTTTATAAATGATTGAACTATTCTTTTTTATGATAATAAAAACATACTGTATTAATCTTGCCAATGGCATCATGCACTGGTGTTACAAACAAAACCACAGGGGCTTGTCACGAAATATTTATTTTCTTTTAATATTAGAATTTTATACCGAACCTTTTTTATATAAAAATACAAAATTGTATTTTTATAGTAGGGGCATCATGCACTGGTGTTACAAATAAGACCTAAAGTTAAAGCAAACTGCTAAAAAAGAGACCCAGCACTACATCATTTATATTCAATTTCTTTAGCTGGCTACATAGCTTAAAATATCTAACTTTGTATGGCTATATTAAATTATTAATCTATTCAAATTACCCTGATAAAGCTTAAGATTATATAAAATTATAACAAATCAATAAATTAACATTTTATCTTAATTTTGTCTTTAAGTTTAGCTTTACACTACAGTTTTACCCAAGCAGAAAGTTGTGGTTACAAATCATATTGCTTTATAAATATAATCCCTATAACTTTCAGAACTTAAAGTACAAGTCTGACTGAAGACTTATGCATTGTTTTCAAAATAATACAAAGTTAAAATTATCAATGCATCATAAACAGTGATAAAGTGTGACTATTTTTACATGCTGGAAAAAGTGCACATTTAAGATTTAGAGATCTAGTAATTAAGGTAAAAAGTCTGCAAAATTAAAAGCTAAATCAAGCTACGTTGAATAGCTTAAAAAAAAAACTATTTAGCTGTTTCAAACTAATTATAACAGTATCAAGAGATTTTGTCGGACCTGTAAAATTAATGTTATATTGGTGATGCTAGCTAGATCTAGATTAATTGTTGATTTTTTTTTCTATTTAATTATGAAAATGAACAATTTATTTATATTCTGATTATTAATAAGTAATGATACATGATAGCATGTTATAATACAGTATCTAATTTTTTTTCCAGCTAAACTGAGTCCCTATAGTTAGTTGGACAGTCATGAGTGAAGGAAGCAAACTGCAAAAAGTCCAAGTCTTGGAGGAAGGATGGAAGAAACAGGCAGAAAAACTGGTTTGTGAATTTACTGAATTACGAATTAACATTTGTAGTCAAATATAAAACAGGTGTGCATCTAATGGTACATCTGTCAAAGTTCAGCACTGTGCTTTACAATAACATGGTTGTGATGAGCACTTAAATATTACCGTATAGGGGGATATTTTAGCGGTGTGCTAATTTTGGCATTTTGATGGTAGCCCGCTACAATTTTAATCGTTGATATAGTAAGTTCTTTTCTAAGTGTTTGTCGCAAGTTCTTTTCTAAGTGTTTATCTGCAAAGAGCCGAAACTCTGTGTCCGCTAAAATGAATTACACCAAAATTAATGGCATACCTTTGAGCAGGTAAAACACCCAAATTTTACACCCCCCAAGAAAACCCACTATACGGTAACTAAGGCAAGAATTTTGATAGGCTAAGTGTGCTTTAAATTTTGATTTTTGTGGGGCTTTAAGAAAGGTTTCTGTGGTATGAGGCATAATGAGGAGACCCATGAATAATGAATTAAAAAAAGATGACTCATCTCTTTTTATCATACTACATGTAAAACCTCTTTAAGCGATATTACAATTAACATGTTGCAAACACTTTTTAATTTACAGTGTAGAGAATTCCAGACAATGGGTGGTGAAATGATCATCGTGGCCAGACAACCAAGCAGACAGCTGTTTGCCTGCTGTACCTCTAATGCAGAAAAAGGCATGGTGAAAAATTTTAGCACCTTCAAAGAATGCCTGCCACTTCCACAAAGTAAGTCACTGAAAGATTAATCTCTGGTATTTCTGTTGACATGATCAAGGGAAATAACTTTGAAATTCAATGATAAAAATATGTTTCAGAATTAGTGAAGAAAACTCCTGGGGCAGCGAATCAAAGTAAACCAACTACTGACAAAGCAAAAAAATAACTGAAACTCAAGTGGAGAAAGGAAAGCAACTTGTTACTACAACATCTGGTTGGTAAATCCTGTAAAATCATTAATTTTTGTGGGCGGTTAATTTTTGTTGTTTTGGGGGAATTGAGAGACCCACAAATCTGTGACCACCACAAAATGTAAAATTTCATATGCATTTTTACTAAACATTTTCCAACCAAGATATCAAATCTCCACAAACCAATTTTATTTCCTATTACATCGAAAAAATTTTAAGCATAAAAATCACTCTCACCAGTCTTATTAGATGGGGAGGTTGTTGCCCATGAGTTTGAAGAGTCAAGAAATAAATAAAAACTTATTCAATCTGGAAATTTTGGGAACAACAAATTCCTGGATGAAAGATTGTCAGTTGAGTATTTCTGTTAACATGATCAAGGGAAATAACTTTCAATGATAAAAATTTTGTTCCAGGTTTAGTGAAGATAGCACCTGGGGCAGCTAATAAGAGTAAAACAAATGATGATAAAGCAAAAATAACAACTGAAACTCAAATGGAGAAAGGAAAGAAACTTGTCGCTACAACATCTGGTTGGTATATAGTCTAAATATAGGGAAAATCATAGATAAAATTCCCAAAAAAGAAAATTTTAAAGCATAAAAATCACTCTCAGCAGTCAATGAGTCATTTGAGGGAGCAGTTGTTGCCCTTGAGTTAACAGTTTGAAGTGTCAAGAAATCAATTAAAACTTATTTAATCTAGAAATTTTTGGTGCAATGAATTCCAGGAGCATTTGATTAATAACACATCCTTGCATGTTCACAAATTTTAATTACAAGGATATCTCAATCAAACCAGTTCTGAAATTCAAAGTTTCAAAAAGTTTGAGATGAAGTAAGATTTTTATTCTATTTTAGAATGAATTTATTCAATTTATACAGCAACATATAAGTCATGAAATTAAAGAGAAGATTTGAGAAAATATTAAATTCAAAACTGTGTCCAAGCATCTTTGATAAAACATATATTTATCTTACTTTGAAATAAATATAAAGTATTGTATATGAATTGTTTAATTTTAAAAAAAATTGTTCCAGGTTTAGTGAAGATAACTCCTGAGGCAGCAAATCAGAGTAAAACAAATGATGTCAAAGCAAAAATAACAACTAGATCTCAAGTCGAGAAAGGAAAGAAAATCATTGCCATAATATCCGACAAACAGGAAAATACTTCCATAAGTAATACAAGTAAGCAAGGGAAATAACTCATGAAGCATTATGTCAGTAATGCAATAAATACATGTATTATGACAGTTTACTAGTAGTTGCAAACTTACAATAATTGGTATATTGTTTAAATATAGAGGAAATCATAATAAAATAAATTCTTAGATTCTCATCGGAATTTTTTGAAAATTCAAGGCAGGTGGTTGGCTTTATTATATATTTTTTTCCATTTTGCAGATTTTTTATTGACCTGGTTAATCGGTGCAGATTAATCTATAAAAATTACAGTAAAGGTCCATTTATCTCTTACTTCACATCATCAACAATCTTTCACAACCAATGATCCTTGCTTTATATATACTACAACAATTTCCATCTTTTCAGCTCATGTCAAAATCATGCTGACATTCAAGAGATTTAAAATGAAAGTTGAGTTGAAGTTGAATACGATCCCGATCAGAATAACACAAAGAAAAACAGAAATTAAAAAAGTCGAGGTGGGGTAAAAAATCGGGACAGGCGGGGATGAGAATCTAGGAATACTTTTATTATGGCCTAAAATTGCCAAGGGAGTAAACGAGTCCAGAAATTCAAAGTTTCAATAATTTTGAGATGAAATAATATTTTTATTATATTTTAGAATGAAATGCTATAGCAGTATATAAGTCATGAAATCAAAAAGAAAATTTGAGAAAAAATAATCTCAAATCATTGTCCAAGCACCTTAATAAAACACATGCATGTATTTATCTTACTTTGAAGTGAATATAAGGCCATAATAAAAATATTCCTAGATTCTCATCTCCGCTCGTCCAGATTTTTTTTTATCCCAGCCTCAATTTTTTAAATTTCTATTTTTCTTCGTCTTAATTGTGATCGGGATCAGTATTCATCTACTATAATTCTACTTTCGTTTTAAATCCCGCGAAAGTCGATATGATTTTGACAGCTGAAAAGATGGTAATTGCTATAATCCATACGTATATATTTTAAACAAGGGTCATTGGTTGAAAAAGATTGGTGATGATGTGAAGTAAGAGATAATTGAACCTTTACTATGACTTTTATTCGGGTATTGTAGATAAAATTATTATACATCTACTGTAATTACTCTATATAAAATTAATACCATAAAACTGTCTATTTTCCCGAGAAGAGACTACTACCCTCAACTGAAGACTACTCCATGGAAAATCAGAGCTACTCCCTGGGACTACTCCCTCATGAATATTTATTAGTAATTTTAACCAATCAAAGTGTTCAGTAGGCAGAGCGTTCAAGGAATCTCGAGTCTGTGACGTCATGTTATTAGCAATGTAACTATGACGTCAAAACATTTTGACATGCGATGACAAAATCATACTTGAATTTTAGCAAAATGAAGACAACGATAATTCTTCGAAATGTCAGTGAAAATGCTTTTTAAAAATAATTTAATTGTTTTAGGACACGATGCATTACTTATCATACAATGTGTTAAACCGCATGCATTTGTAATTATGCCTCTACTTTTGTTTTTTTTTTTTAACGTCGGAATATCTGGTTAAAAAATTAAATCGCCTATGATTGTTTCGGTATAATAAAACAGTTATGGAATGGGAACTCGGGAAATAGCAAATTTATGGTTCCCCTCGGCAGGAAACTATTTCCCTCGTTGGCTTCGCCACCTCAGGAAATAGTTTCCTCCCTTGGGGAACCATAAATTTGCTATTTCCCTCATACCCATTCCATAACTGTATATTACACCGATTGACCAGGTCAATAAAAAATCTGCAAAATTGAAAAAATAAAAAAAATAAAATAAAAGCCGCCCGCCCGCCTCGATTTTTAAAAAAATTCGGATGACAATCTAGAATTTTATTTATTATGGCCTAAAGTGTTGTATATGAATTTTTTCAAATAAAAAATTTTGTTCCAGAATTTGTGAAGATAACTCCTGGGGCAGCGAATAAGAGTACTAAATTAAATAATGAAAAAGCAAAAATAACAACTGAAACTCAAATGGAGAAAGGAAAGAAACTCATCGCTACAACATCGGACAAACAGGAAAACAGAAACCCAGAAACTTCCATAAGTAAGACAACTAAAGAATCACTCAAAAGGAAAATTCTTACAGGTGAAAAAATAAGTGAGAAAAGTGAGCAAGAAGATGAAATATTTTGCGATCTGGATTTAGAAGTCACGGAGGAGCCAGGACCAGAGGAAGTGTCTGAGAAACAGGACAAAACAAATAACAAAACAGAAACCAGTAAGAAACCCAAGACTTCAAACGCAGCAGGAAAGGATATAAAGATTTCTCTTGCTATAAACAAGCCTGTTTTAAGAGCATCTCTAGCACAGTCTTCTGAGAAATCTTCTGATAAGGGCAATGAAAGAATTTCTCCAAATGCAGCAGAGATCAAAAGCAATCAGACAAACAAGCCTTCAATTTTATCAAGAAAATCTCATACACCTAAATCCGAGGCTGTTCCTAAATGCCAAGCATCTGATATTGTCCTTCAGTTTTCTGTTCCTCCGTCACAAAGTCAAAGCACCAGTACAGGTTCAGGTTCTGTGAGCAGTAAACCTGGGTCCCAGACAAACACTGTCAGCTCTAAGATTGTCTTGCCTGTATTTCTGTCTAGTAAAGAGGCAGTGATTTCTAGTGGAGTGACAGGGAAAGACAGTGGTAACAGTTCTGCTCTAACACTGACAACATCCAGTGCTGGGAGCCCTTTGGTTAGTAACCTTGCTTCTCATGTTCAAAAAGAGAACTCTTCAGAACTGAAGAGCAAAGAAGCCCAAGCCAAAGGAGCTCCTCAGAAAGAAACCTTGAATATGGTTTTGGTCAGGGATTCGAATCAACAACTTTGTCTTGTCCCACAACCATCAAAAGATGGAAAAGTTCAGCTAGTAGGAAATCAGGTGTCCATCCCACTTACATCAAGTCAAGCACAGTCAGCAAACAACACAAGTTCTACTCCCTTACAGTCAGGATTTGTTTTGGTACCATCAAGTCTGACAAGCTCTGGTAGCACTACTGTGGCACCAAGGAAGGCTACCACAACACCACAAAAGATTCTACCAAAGGGTGATAAAACTACTGCACAGAATAACCAAACCACCAAAGATTTGAATGATACACCAACAACCATCCCCACTTCCTTGCCTAAGGTGTTTATTTTAGCAGCACCCAACTCCATGTCATCTGCCTTAAAAAGCAATAGGACTGGTTATATTGTCCCAATGCCAGCCACACCCAATCCCGCGGTGTCCCAGGCAGGGGCTGCCGCAGCATTGCTCTCTAACGGCACAGAGGCCTCCACTGCCACTCCTAAAGACCAGACAAATTCAACATCTCAGCTTCAATTTGTCGATAAAGAAACGGACGATCCAGAGGAGGAAGCTGAACAGAATGTCAGCCAGGAAGGAGCTTCACCAAAGTCGCAAGACAAGGAAAAGGCTTCAGTTTCAACAAAAAAGACAAACAAAGTATCTGTTGCAAAGAGTCCTTTTGTGAGGGTTGGCAATAGTATGTATCGACTTGTAGTGATGAATGGACAGCAATTCCTTGTCCCAGTTCAACAACTGATGCGTTATGGACAGAAAATGACGACGACCTCAACTGATCATAAGAAAACAAAACTACCTAAATCTAAGAAAAGAAAACGTGAAGAAGGAAAGGTAAGAATGTTCTTGTACTTGCATGAATAATATAAAGTGATTTACAGTAATAAAAGAAGCCCACAAAATATAAGAATCTTTTTTTTTTAAATGAAGTTAATTACATCTTTAGCCCTTTTGTTATAATGTATTGATGCAATTATAAAGAAATGTATTTCATGAAATTCTTCAAAAGTTGACATGTTCTTTGAATTATAGGACTCAGACTCCGGAAAAAAACAGAAAACATCCCATGCACCATCGTCAAAGAATCCAACAAATGGTAAATAATGTACAATTAATTTCTTTATTATGTACATGTTTTTTTTTTTAAATTCTACTCGAAATCTGTATGCTTTTTCAGGGGATCACGTATTGCAAGAAATTTCATACTGAAGATCACATGTAATGATGTATATCTTTGAAATAGTGAATGAGATAGAGGTTTCTCTTCTACAGCTTATAGATCAAATAGGAACAAACGAAAAAAAAAAAGCTACTGCTAAACATAATGTTTCTACTATTCCTGCCTATAACATTTAGCGTGAATTCATTCTTCTAGAATTATTAAATCATTATATACAAAGTCTGATGAAATGTTTGTAATGTTATACATTCACTACGACATTGTACAAGGAAAACAAAATTTGTATTTAAATGTACATGTGCCATACAAGCAGAATTTTTAGCAAGGATTTAATTTTAGTATCATTATTAGCCAGGGTGCTGAGTTCACTAAAGTTTAACAATTAATTGTGTTTTGTTTGTAATAACTTCTTTAATGAGCATTTTGTTTTTGCTAAACTCATTTCTCAGTAAAAATATATCACTAATTTTTTAGGATAATTTCTTAAATTTCCACTTAATATGGTAATTAATTTTTAGATAAATAAAAGATTTTCCTTACTAATTGTTTAGTTGCTTGAATAATTTTAGTTTTTTGCATTTAGATTTCTAGAAATGTAATGTGATGTACATGTATTTATTTTTCAGTTCCTGTAGAAAAATTTGTAGAATCAGAGAGTGATCCAGAGGAAGAAGATCTGTCTGAGATTAATGAGGTACTATCACTTTGTATTGAGCAGAAGCCCCCACCCCTTTCCACCAGTATTTTTAGCTCTACTGGTCAGAGACCAGAAGAGCTTATGCGATAATTTTTACATTTCCAATGTCTTTGTTTGAGATCAAATTACAAATTGTAAATATATCCCCATCAATGTTTTTCCAAAAAAACCACGTGCAGGGAAGAACAAACAGCTAGACAGAAGCAGGGCTTGGAGCACGTGGATTGGTGACTTGCATGATAATTTTATGCATAAACGCCTTCGGCGTTTATGCAAATTATCATGCAACCCAATCGATTGATCACATCATGAAATCGAAAAATAAGACAGTTATTCCTTAAGTAATGCGTCCGTCTAGCTGTCTGTCTGTCTGTCCGTCTGTAAACAATTTTTCAAAATGCTACTCCTCCTACAGTTTTGGTTTGATTTCAATATAACTTGGCACACAAGTAGACTACACTAAGATACATAATTCTGTATAAGCATTTTTGATTTCGACAAACGGTGTTGCCGTGGTTACTAAGAATAGAAATTTTTGTGAAAATCATTCAAAATGCTACTTCTCCTACAGTTTAAGTCTGATTTCAGTATAACTTGGCATACAAGTAGACTAAACTAAGATACATAATTCTATATATTGGTTTTTGATTTCGATGAACGGTGTTGCCGCGGTTACTAAAAGTAGAAATTTCTGTGAAAATCATTCAAAATGCTACTTCTCCTACAGTTTGAGTTTGTTTTAAATATAACTTGGCACACAAGTAGACGACACTAAGATACATAATTCTGTATATCGGTTTTTGATTTCGATGAATGGTGTTGCCGTGGTTACTAAAAATAGAAAATTTTTGAAATACATTCAAAATACTACTCCTCCTACAGTTTTGGTCCGATTTTAATATAACTTGGCACACAAGCAGACTACACTGAGATTTAATTATCAGTTTTGTGTTTTTGATTTTGTTGAATGTTGCCATAGTAATTTAAATTGAAAATTCTGTAAAATTTTATTAAAAGCTACTCCTACAGTTGTAGTCTTACTGCAATTTATTTGATCAGGATCAGTATTCTATTTATTGCTTTTGTAAAGTTTTAAGTCTTTACTGCTACTTTTCTCTTTCTTTATTATAAGTACAAACCAGTAGAGCTACAGTCTTGACAGAGACTTCTGGTTTAAATAATTTAAATAATATATTTCATTCTGTGCAATTGTAGTTTGCATGGTATTTGTCCAAATTTTCTCAAATAGAGAGCTACTTGCTGTTAGTAATATTCCTTATCGAGTACATCATTAATACAATGTATATGTATGCATGTATCATACACTATAAATACTGTAAGATTTTTTATTGAGTTGGCTCGCGTAGCGAGCTACTCCCTGTCGACATAGCCATTTCAGAGCTGTAAAATTTTTTACGCATTCATCAAGGTGATCCATACGCCAAGTATAATAGTTCTAGCAAAAAATGCTTTGGTTTGAGTGATTGTATAAACTTAAGAGGTAAAGACTGTATAAAATTTTATACTGTACATTATTTTTGCCTCATACATGTATGCTTTTAAAGAAATTTTTGATTAAATACCTGTATGATGTAAAATTACTGCGTATGAATATATTCAAGCATGTTAGGCGGATCTAATCTTCCCATCTGAAATTTATTTATAATTGACCTAGAATACTCCCTAACACAAACACCTGATGCTCTCATTAGCTGCAGCTAGTTGTTGCTGAAAATCTATTTTTAGAATCCAGATTTGCTGTGGGAATTTTTAACCTAATGATCCCATAACACTGACCACTTCAGCTAATGTGCTGAAATTCATTATAGAATCCAGTCAAAATAATACTGAAGCCCCTTAGTGCCAACCTGTATATATAAAGGAAAAGCAGTATACACTTTATTTATGAACCGAACATGGATCAGACAAATAATATTCAATCTCTTAAGATGCAAAATAAACTGAATATATTAAGGTATGGTGCCCATATGTATGAAAAAGCTCAATTGACTCGAGCGAGTCAACTCGCAGGCCCTTCAGGCCTTTGATTTAAAACAAAAAAAGCAAACAAAAATATAAAAATGAAATAATTTAAATTTCTTTTTATATGTTTGAGTGACAAAAGTACCAAAAAAATTTTTAATTTGTGATATTTTATGAAGTACATGTATGTTGTATTTTGATTACTTTAGTGCAATAAACATGACAATGTACCAAAAGAATTTGATGCACATGTATTTTATATTTTACACAGATGATAGAAAGGAGGTCGAAATTCAATGAATCAGGACAACCAAGCCCCTCTCAAGGACCAGTAGATAAACCGAAATCTGGAGATGAAACCCAGGCACATGAAAACGAGCAAGGAGATTCCACAACACCCAAACCCAACTTGAATGATGCACAGGATAAAGAGCAGGGATTTTCCACAAACCCACAACCTATTGTCTTGAAACAGGAGAATGAGAATGGATTTTCCACAGACCCACAACCTGAGCCAAGTATTATTCCGAAACAAGAAAATGAGCATGGATCATCCGAAAACTCACAAGAGAACCCACCTGCCATCCAACAACAGGCCAGTGACCATGGATATTCTGTTCAACAAGAAGACATCCCCCCAGCTCCATGTATCATGTGTTCATTCAAGACGTGTTACTGGAAACCAATGGCTGACCATATGAGACGACGTCATGGCTCTAAGAGATATTGCATCAAGTGCAATAATTTCATGGCAAGTTCCAGGTTTTATACCCATAATTGCACCAGACGAGGCATCAATAAAAATCGGAAGCAGATATGTCTGATCTGCTCTCGACTGGCTAGCAGTGCCTTAGAATTGATCAAACATTACAGAGTCAGTCATAGAACTGATATTGAGAAACACTGTCACAGCAATTCACTATACAGGAGTGTGAGGTCGCAGAAAATATTCGTGTGTAAAGGTTGCGGTACATTGGAATACTCGGAGCAGAACATGCTGATCCATATAAGAAAGTTGCACTTCTGTGAACTCAATAAGAATAAAGAGCAACAGAGCCAGGGAGTGCAAAAAAAGGAACCTGTTTGTGTGTGTCCAGTGTGCCTTTTTCATTTTCCAGAGGAAGAACATTTGAAATATCACATTAATATTTTTCACAGTGGCAAGCGCGATGATAGAGGTACTGTTGAGTGCAGTTTGTGTGACAACACCTTTACTTCTAGTGATGAGTTGTTTAATCACTATAAAACTCATACACCAAATGTCAAATACAGGTGTGTACTCTGTGCACAGCACAACGAGCCTATGAATTCACTGGAGGAGGTGCAGCGTCACAGAGAAATCTTCCATCCTGTGAACAAGCATGTGGAAGCCTTACTTTTGTGTCCTGAGCCAGAGTGTCAGGAGACCTTCCACGAAGACATAGACTTTGTGCTTCACACAATCCGACATCAAATAGGAACCAAATACAGCCATACTTGTGCCAAGTGTGATTTCTCTACCTCTTCCGAGATCTTGCTGGCAAAGCATGAATCAAAATTTCACTATGAATCTGAAAAGAGGTGTCATTTCTGCACAAAGCGCTTCAAAATGCCAGAACACTTAACAAAACATATGTTGTTACATAAAACAATGGAAAAAAGTACCAGTGGCAGTGACACAACATTTATTTGTGATCGTTGTGGGCAAATAAATACAAGTGCCAAAAAGCACAGACGTCACATGAGCAAACACAAGGAAAAGGACCGCAATGAGGAGACGCCATGTAAAGTGTGCGGAGAGGTTTTCGTTTCAGCCACAAACGCAGCCAAACATATGTTCAAGTGTCATCCAGAAGAGGAACATAATTTACAGTTGCCGATCTACCCATGTGCTTATTGTGACTATGTCAGTTTGTATCGCGGTGACTACCGGCGTCACATGTCAACTCACAAGAGAACCAATCATTTTGTTTGTAAAATATGTGACAGGGGCTTCAAGGACAGACCAGGTCTTAGAAGCCACTTAAAACTTCACAAACAAGGACGAAATCACAGGAAATTCAGGTAAGAATCTTTTATTGCTTGAATGTTTAAGATTTTTTATGGGATATATTAAAACTTCAAGCTAGAAAATATAGTACATGGACTAAGTAATGTCTACAAGTACTGTGTATCTAGATGTAGTGCTTGTTTTATAAGCAATGGACTTGATATAGGGAAAGCTGCTTACACCAAAGGCTCTAAACAGAATACACAACTTAATGTTATATGTGTAGTGTTTGACCTGTATATATATTTTAATTTGTCTTTCAATGCCTAAAATATAATTTGTATCTTTTCAAACAGGTGTTTTGCCTGCCATCTGGACAGAGATGGGATTAGAATGAAAAGTCACCTGACCACTGAGAATCACAAAATGAATTGTAAATTGGCTGGCATCAATCTGGACGATTACAATAATGACCTACTGAATTTGTTCCCATCCAAAGGAGAGGCTCTGAAACTCCCAAGGAAAGATTTAATCCAGAAGTCCTATATCGACCAGTGTGAAAAGGTTCACAAAGAGCACTGTAAGAGAGCATCTCTTCTAATGGTGGAAGAAAAGTCCTACACAGTAGTAACTCCAGATGGCGATGAAATTCAGCTGGATATGCCCTCAAAAAATCCCAAATGTGAGGAATGCGGATTGTTGTTCAAGTCTGTGGAGGATCTAGAGGAGCACAGAGAACATGTCCGATTGTTAGAGCTGTCAGCCAATAGAAACTACTGCCTCTGCGAGGTCTGTGATGTCCATTTTTTTGATAGAATAGGTGCGGCCAAGCATGCAACCTTGAAAGACCACATCGAAAAATGTCGCCTGAAGGGCGTGGAACCCGATGATATTTTGAAAAAGAATAACATTTCTAAAGATGTTTCTTTCGAGAAGAGAAAAGAAATGCCAAAACACGGATATAGGTGCACGGTTTGTGATGCGTATTTTGCTTCTAGAGATAAGAAGGCGGTTCATATTACCAAGGACATTCATGTTCAGAAGTGCCAGGAGTTAGGGTTGGATCCTGCTGATGATCATTTTGAAGATTTAACAGAACCCAGCAATGAAGAGAAATTGCCAAATAAACATGATAAAGAAAGAAAGAAAATAAGTAGAATTGAAAAAGCAATCAGCAAGCGAAAGAAACTGAAACTGGACAGCATAGAACTCATGGGTGTACAGGTACCAAGACTGATTTCATTTGAATGTTTAGTGTGCGGTGTTATGTTGGCAGGCAGAATTCAGGGCATTGATCATTTGAACACAACAATACATAGAGAAAAATGTTCCAGTTTAGGCATACAGTCTACTCCGGGTAATCTTGGAGTAAGGGTATCTGATGTCAAGTCAGTAGTGGGGAAATCTTTACCACAGATCTTGGGAGTAGCAACAGACACAGTTTTCCCCATTTCGAATGAGGAAAGAGGAGTCTATGTGCGCCAGATTGTGGAGGCAGAAATGGCAACAAAGAATTTTTCAAAAATGAAATACCGTATTCTGAAAATTCGACCCGATTCCAATGATGCAGAAGTTGTAGTGGCAGAACTGCGAGATGAGGAAATGGACACAATGCAACAGTCTGCAGAAGTGCCACCAGAGTCCATAACAGCAGAAGTCAACTATAATCTCCCACAGACAGCTGAAGATGAGACTTCATACAGCGCGCAGAAACTTTCTTACCTTATTGAATCTTTAAGTAACTCTATAACGTCTGATACCCAATCATCAGTGCAGCAAGGTCCTACAGTTCCATTGTCTACTCCATCACCCAAACAAAGCATTCTATACAAACCAAGGTCAGCATTGAAAAGCACTTCAGGTAAAAAAGGGATTTCAAAGAAAGGTAATGTTTTAAAGCCATCCAAAAAACAACAAAAGAAGTCTGCATCTTCCAATGAAGTTGCAGTAGAATCAGCAATGGAAGTGGACCAGATTTTCTATCAAGGTGTTGCAGGGGTAAATGAAATTGAAATATCTGAGGACATTGACTTTGAGACTGTCAGTTTTGAATCATTTTGATTCATTTTAAGTAGACTGAGCTTTGAATTTTTTTAAGTGTTAGTGACAGTGAGTTGAATCTTTTTAGAAGATTCATTTTAAGTAGTTACTCTTTTTGTGTTATTCTTTTAATGTATGTGGTTTGACACATGAAGTTATTTTTTGGAATATTACTTATTAAAGATTTATTCATATTGATTTTCTTTCATAATGTTATAACACAGAATTACCAACCCAAAAAGTTAAAAAAAAATGTTGGGGGGAATAATATTCAGTTACACAAAAAATTAGATTGTATGATGGTAAAAATTATTTGTATATAGTTGCCTGTCTGAAAATGGTGAGAGATGAACAAATATTTCTTAAATCTTTTCAACTATAAATAAAGATACTGTTTTGACTCACTTTAATGAAGTTGAGTGTTTGTTACAGAGTTGATGTACCTGTTAAGTAAGAGCAGGTAACAATAAGCCCTACCTGGCTATTATAGTTGTGATCTAATGGAACACAATACTGACACTTATGCTTTTGATGCTACTGTAGTATGGATAAGAGGAATTAGTAAACATACATTGATAATTCATAAATACATATATATTGAAATCATATGGCTGGACCGGGAATCGAACCCGAACCAAAATATAATATTGATAAATAATACTTGATTGTGATTTTTTATTTTTCATTATAATTTTATTGATTATCAAGTACATGTATTATTACTTAACATTGTATCTTGACCTATTATACAAGGAGAGGGTGTACATAGGCCTTGCCTGTTGCCCAATCCTTATTGAATTATTCAATAAAATATGTTTAAAGTTTTTGAACCCGGGACCCTTGTATTACTAGTTAGGTGCTCTAACCACTGAGCTACCCAGGCCGATGTCCCTAGTACAGCCTAAATTGCTACACTGCCATACTTGTTTCAGATACTGCTTTTGATGCTACATTTGAAGATATTTGGAAATATCAGAATTAGAGATGTCAATGTTCAACTGCATGAGCTCATTAATATTAGGGGTCATTAACAAATCTTCTTCTCAAGAACCACTGCAGGGTAAAAAAAAACTAAACTTTGATAAATTGAAGCTTTCTGAGATAATATAAAATTTAAATTGTTTTAAATTAAATCATGGCCCAGGGGGTAGGGTAGGGTTTTACATTACAATGTACAGTAAAACATGGTTATAGTGAACACACTTATAGTGAATTGATGCTTACAACAAAGTGATTTTTATTCCAAATCATGCTACGGTGAGCGATGTACAGTTGTACACACCTGTAGCTCTCGTGGAAGAATATTATCGCAATTAAAGCAGAGACACCGTGTCACACCGTGTACGCACCGTGTCACACCGTGGATCGGAGACGCGAACTTCAAAGACGTATTTATTTAAAGTTCCACGCAAAAGCGTTCTCTGGCTTTTGGAACCGTGGCCGGTAATTAATTATATATTAAACTCTTATTTTTGATACATTATGCAGAACTTTAGCTTCTACCTTTTAACGGTCCGAAAAGCAGAGAGCTACATAGTTTTGTAAGCGTCGTAAAAACCACAAATAGCTATTTTTTGCGCTGAAAGGTATTTATTTCGTGTAGTTAAAACTTTCTCTGGCTTTTGGAATTGTATCCTATAATTAATTATATATTAAACTCTTATTTTTGATACATTATCAAAGTTTATTTACCTTTTAACGGTCCGAAACAGTCCTGTACATAGTTTTGTAAGTCTGTAACCACAAATAGCTATTTGTTAGCGTTGAAAGGTATGAAAATTATCAGGAATTGAAGTTAAATGTATGATTTTTATTGAATACCATTTTTAAAGCTTGGGAAAAGTATAAAATACAAGAAAAAATGCCCGAAGTGAGCGACAAAAAATTTTTTTCACAGTTTCATCTTCTCCATAACGAAGGGTTCTATAGCTATTTTAAACAGACTTCCTGAAAGCATCTTTTGGTAAAGTTGATTAAAGTGTTCAAATGAATGGTCAAACCCTAATGTTATCTTTTTTCCATATTATAATTCCTGAAGATTCAAAGTTTAAAATAGAAAGCAATGGATCACATTGCCCATCTGAGTCACTTTGACACTGCCTGCTGTAAAATACTTCAACTTGATGATTATTCTATATAATCCTATTAAAGTTACTGAAAGACCATGTTGCCCACATCCCCATCCTATGGGATCGTGATAAGAATAAACTTTAATCGGCACACTACTTGAGGAGTCTTCGATATAATTTAAATAAATATCTTTCATATAAATAAATCTTAGCTGTTTAAGAGAGGAGATTTTTTTCTTAGACTTGTATATTCCTTGATCACCGAGTGTGGTCCCCCTCTATCTAAATATTCCTACATAAAATATATAAAGGTATGATGATTTTTAATTAACAAAAGGTGATTAAAAAATAATGTAAATGGTAATAAATGTCCTATTAGTATTAAATATAAATATTACTTATCATTCAACTTTTTTTAATGATTATTATAGCGTTTTAGAGGATATTTTCTATTCAAAAATAAATAAAAAATAAACAATGTATAGATACTTTCTCGGGATATTTTTGAGGAGGTGTTCAGCGTAAATTTTGAAAAGAAAAACAAGTTCAAAACTACTTTGCCTGTGTCCTGGTCAATAAATAAAATTAATATCATAAGATTTACATATGTAACAATACAGCTGAACCAACATGTATAAGAATCATAGATTGTAGCACCTGTGTACTGCTGGATTAATTCAACGTGTTTGTTTACTGTTACCATAGGGATATGTTTATTTTGATCATGGGATCTCGGCCAATTAAATTCTGCTTATGCAGCAATTAATAACCAGGCAGATTATTTACACATAATTCTTATTATTATATGATAAAGTTCCTTCAAAATAACACGTACATCATTGTTAATGTTATAGAGATTTTAATATTGTTAGTCCACCCCAACTCAGTAGTGTATTGATAAAATTTGTCTATCTTTTTATTGCTGTTTGTTATAATGATTTCAAAAAAAAAAACAATCAAACAAACAACGTGCTAATTCTGTTAATACTGTACTGTTACATGCATAGTCATATACACACACAAATATACATGCACACTGTTTCAGAAGATAAATGTCAATGAATCACAGTCCCTCGGTAGTGTATTGATAAAATTTGTCTTTAACTTTTTATTACTGTTTGTTATTTTCAAAAAAAACCAATGCTAATTGGCTGTTAATACTGTTCCATGCATAGTCATAAAACTTTTAGTAATATATTTCAAACAAAATATTAACATGTGGCTGACCGCGTACCCCAACACGTGACTTGAATACAGTTAAAAAAAAGAAATTAAAAAAAAAAAACAATAATAATGAAAACTTATAAATGAAAGCTTGAAATCATCTTTTAAGATGTCCATTGCGCAATTATACAGTTAGCTTGTAAAATCTAAAGCAAGTAAAAAGTGAACCCCCCCCCCCCCCCCCCCCCCGGAAAATGCGGATATTCATCGGAGCATTAATGAAGAAATAGGTTTTTGACTTTGTTGTTTCCGTTTTTTTTTTTTTTTTTGCTTGTCAAGAAATTTCTGGGTTGCATTTTTTTTTTTTACTGGTGTCATGTTTACTGTTGATCTTTACACAAATCCATACGTCATGTTTACGGATCTTTACACAGGAGGAAGTATACCCCCCGAAATAAGTATACATCTATATACCTCAAATTTAAATCTACTTGTGTAATACATGTGGAATTTGTAAAAATCGACGTCATTTCTTTCGGTGAAAGTAAGTAAAAAATTAATAAAAGTGCATTGACCTATATCTGTACAGACTATATATTTATATTATTTCTGTATATTATTTCATTTAATGCTGCATTATTTGTATAATTTGCTTGGATAAGATCTACAACAGCCTTAATACAACGTTCGAGAACATTGACACATAATTATCACAATAGATTAAAATCAGGGAAATAGAATTTCATTTTCTCATTTGACATTTTGCGATTTTATTAAATATTTTTTTTAAATTTTGGTAACCTTGTCGTCAATCGAACCACGTCAGTTATTTCCGTCGCTTGCTGTTATATCCCTTTTTTCTTCAAAAACGCATTTATTGCGAAAGGGATTTTCTATACAAGTCACGTGAGAAATCGTTTTAACTACGTCATATAAAATAGGGGATTTCCATCAATGTGTCAGTGTTTGCGAAATCTGCAAGAAAGTAAGTTGTTTATATATTAGAGCTCTTTTTATAAAATAATTTTAAAAATATGGTAAAATGATAAAGGTTAAATACAATTAGTACAGTGTATCGTAAAATTGTAGATAAAGATATACCGATTAATTTATTGACTAACATGTATATTTAGATAAGTTTATAAGTGTGGATCTAAAATTATCTTTATATCAATAAAAGGAGTTTTTTTTATACTTTACTTAAATGATGGTAGCTTTAATGTTATAAATAATATGCACGTGCATGAATTCAAGTTTTGTAATTTACAGTTTTATGATCACATGTATACTTAAATGCTAGCAGAATATTAAAGAAAAGATTTAATAAAATTACCGGGGTATCTAAAGTTATAACTATGATACACGTTCCGTCATGTTCTGTATACATGTACGTATGTAATTAATTTGCGAGTCCTGGAATACTTGAGGATTAATTAGCAATAAATGGACGAAACGATAATTTACCAAAATAATATCAATATAACCATGCATCTATATGTTATTGATACAATGAAAGTTATAACTCAAAACTATAAACATGCTTGCATTTATAACCAGGAAATTATACATAAGATATTACGGTCCATTCCTGCATTGATGTAATGGGTTTGTATCGAACATCCTTAAATCTATAAAATGCTTCTTAAACAGATCTAATTGATTTTTTGTTAGTGTACGAACCCGTACCCGGATAGAGTGAATAGGCCGTGTGTTTGCCGATTAAGAGATACAAATATAGCTCCTGGACATTGATTTTTCGTTTACCTTGTGAACTTTAGAACTTAGTTAGCCCTAAACCTATAGTATATTAGTTTTATAGCTTTTAATGGAACTTGCACTATTTATGAATAGCAAAGGTTAATTTGTGTACGTTCTCTATCAATTTCTTGACCGGCTTATGATAGACTTTCTGAGCTGCTTATATTTCGAGCCAGTCTTGGTTTCTTGTCTTGTTGTTATCAATTTTTTTCTCTCTCATATTTGCAGTTTTAGAGAGCGTGGAGATTAGTACTGCTGTGAGAGATTTTATAGCATAAAGAATGAGCACGAAGAGAAAACAAGCGGATTGTGTGAAACAGCAAGCTATTAATATTTTGTCGATGATGCGGAAACAGGATAATAAGTTAGAAGACAAAATGAAAAAGTTTGTGAAAAAAGATAAAGCTATCGCTAAAAGAACTTTTGAGACGGATGTTGAAGGATGGACACCTGTACACGCATGCGTAATGAAAGGTAGTAAACATTTACTGAAAGTGATGATCAGTACTGGAATTCATGTGAATTTTCGAATGGGACAACCCGAAGGACTTCCGGGGGAGTGTTCTTTACTCCATATAGCAGCATATAGGGGAGATGTCAAAATCTGTAAATATTTAATATCCCATGGTGCCTGTGTTGATGTCCGAGACAATTTAAACAGAACTCCCCTGTATTATGCACAAACAAAGCAGCATAATCGGGTTATCGAGTTACTGAAACAGAAAGGCGGTGACCAGACTGTAAATGAAACTGATGCCATGATGATCGACGAATGTCCGACACCGCAACCCACCAAGCTAGGATTTTGTTTTTCACCTTTTATTAAAAAAGCCGATTGTTAATAATTAATATGAAGACATGTTTTACTATGTACACATGAATTACGAGTATACATGACAATCAAAATCCATGCACAATTAAGTTAGTAAATTGAATTTACATGTTTGTATACTACAAAATGTTGCTAATGTTTACTGTATGTGTGTCTTAAAAAGAAATGCCAGATAAAATATAATTCAGTTTTAATATCCAGTTGACTGAATTTCGTCGTTAAATATTACAATGACAAATGCGTATATTGTATGTACCACAAATGATTATTTCCTTTATACAACGGAAATGACAATATTTCGAGAGAGGGAGAGGAGGGATTATTGCTATTTTTAGCAAAAAGGAAGTTTTTAAAATCAAATACGAGTACATGTGTACTTGTCAATTCACTAGTAAAGAAAAGTATTATTTACATCATAACTAACCATAACAGTTTGATATAAGGGAAGGGTATTTGTTCGTGACCATTGTCATGTAGATTTTTCCGATCCCGATTGTTTCAATTAATTTCTTTCTGTAAGAGTTTGACGTATAAAAAGTCTCATAATAATAATATATTCAAGTATAATTTTCCCTCAAATAATTGCAATCCCCTACAAAGAATGATTTGAATAAGGATATTGAATTAGTGCATATATTCGCACGTAAAGGCATATAAAGTGTTAGGCTGGCATGCATGCAAGACATGATATTCTTGCGCACTCTCTCCTTGCAGTTTTCTGAATGAAATATTTAATAATTATAGTACAATTAAAGAGAGATGCTTATATCTCATTAGTTGAAATTTTGTTTTGGAACTCGATTAATTATGTGTTTATTTTATTAATTCAACATTTTGAAAATATCGTTATAAAAATCTCCACCTTGTATAGAATTCATCTGCAACATGACAGCACAGTGTCTTTCCCAAATTATTTATTTTCAATTTCAAATTTCCTTATTGACAACATTTGTGTAGTCTTCGAGGACCAGGATTTCCAACAAACTTTTGGAATTCCAATGGGCACTAATTGTTCTCTTTTATTGACTGACCACATGCATGTGGTGTATATGTCTCCCAACTATTGCTTTGTCAGGAACTAGCTCTGAGTACGATCCATTTTCTACTCACTTATAAGTTAAGTTGAGTTTATAGCGATATCAACACCCTTGTTTCAAGTCGACATTTTGTATAATGACTTTGGTAGTAAATAAAAACATCACTGGGTTGATTTTTTTCGCATGCATGTTTCAAACTAAATGTCAGACCTTTCTTTTTATACTGAATTAACCATTGAATGTTCAGTCTACATAATCGATCAAAAATAGATAAGACTCACATGGGATACTTACTCATCTTAGGCACTTGATCCTATACCTCTGGATTTTCCAGGTATCCGTGTATTATGCACTCTTCTCATATTTATAAACATGTATTTTAAGTTTTTTGAGAACAATCATTGTTCGTTTTCTTAAAGTTAACCTTTTCGATTTATACAAATTTGTAAAATGCAATCACGTGCAGGATATAAAGGAAAAACAACTTTTAAGGATATCATAAAGTAACTGTCTCATCTTTTAGAAAAGCTCTGACTCAACAGTTTTTTTTTTATTATCTCCAAAGTGTTGTAATATGGGATAGTTTGTATTTATCTTCTTAGAGAAAGTGGTTGAACTCAAAATGTACTTCATTAAGATCAAATGTATCCTTTTGATTCAAATGAGATTATAATTCATACGATATTGTAATAAAATAAATAGTAAAACCCACTTACATGTATGTACCAAAAAGAAAGATGAAGAATGCGCAGCAGTATACGAGGTCGATGCTTTCTTGACTTATAGTCTCTACGTAAATGCTATCTTTTTACTCAATTATTTCTGATATTCTTGTCTTTTGATATGCAGCCTTTTATGGGGATAAAATTGCTACTTTCATACAGAGAAAGAAAACAAGGCATGAAACTGAATACTATATATCGGTCAATGTCCATAATTCTGTCGGATACAAATAACATTCTCCAAAGCAGTGACGTGTTAACCTGTTTGTTATTTCACCAAAACCTGAATCAAATGACGACACTAAAATATACTTTCCAAATGAAAATTACCCAATTTTACCCAAGTAAATATAGATTACTGCAAAGACAATTATTGCGCAATGCAAAAAACGACATTGCAATGATCTCTTTGAGAATGGAAGCAGGTGAACCGAACATCTACAGGTGGCTGGTGTTGAAATACCTCCCGATATATTAACCTGTAAATTATGAAACAAAAATTGTGTTTCCTAAAAGGATCCTAAAAATCTTAAATATTTTATACGTGTGACTATAATGTTGAGGGTAAAAGTTGAAGTCCATAAACCAATATAACTCTCAATAGACTGAGTCGTATTATACCTTTGACTAACAGACAAAAATATCATGTATTGATCTGAAATACAAGGATATTGTTACGGTGTAAAATACAACATTTTTGGACTTATTTTAAATTACCGTGTAAATTAACTTTTCGGACTTTGTGTAAATTGTTGTCAAAACTTCTCTTATATTTCGGCAAATGTGATAAATTATATAAATTCCTCACAGCCTTAATCTCACCTGAGGCATAGTCAGAGATTGGACAGTTAATCCCTTAATTGACTTCTGTTTATATGTATTGACACTTAATCTTTCATCTTTAATTCTATTATATACATGTTGCTAAAATGTCACCATTCCTCAATAATTGTTTGATACTTGATTTCTCTATACTTTTTGTTAATCCATTTATTTTGTTCAGTGTGTATGATTTGTTGTTAAAAATTATAGTCAGTTGGAATCAGACCTTCGGTGCTGATAGTTCCCAAGCTCATGTAAATGTTTATTCCATGCTAATTCCTTATATAAAACTACAAAATTGTAACTCGTGTTTGTGTCTTGAGGTTTTAAAGAATCTGGGTTCGACAATAAGAGAAAAGCTCACGGTTGAACCAGAATCAGTAGTAGACGGACACAATCGGCCTGTAAAAATATGATATAAATTGTCAAGTGAAATCCTGAAACTAGTGCTTTTTAAAATGCACTCTTCTTCGCACCTCGCACCAAGCGAAGGAAATTTCTACGGAAGCGCATTAGGGCCGCAGCAGTATTTTTTTTTAATTTGTTATAACAAATTATCAATTTGTTGTAACAAATTATCAATTTGTTATAAAAAATCATTAATTGACAATTTGTTATAACAAATTGATAATTTGTCATAACAAAATACTAATTTCTTATAACAAATTGATAATTTGTTATAACAAATTGATTATTTGTTATAAGAAATTAGTAATTTGTTATAACAAATTAGTAATTTGTTTAAACAAATTGATAATTTGTTATAACAAATTGATAATTTGTTATAACAAATTACTAATTTGTTTAATTTTGTTATAACAAATTAGTAATTTGTTATAACAAATTGATAATTTGTTATAACAAATTGATAATTTGTTATAACAAATGAGTAATTTGTTATAACAAATGAGTAATTTGTTATAACAAATTATCAATTTGTTTAAACAAATTACTAATTTGTTATAACAAATGAGTATTTTGTTATAACAAATTATCAATTTGTTATAACAAATTATCAATTTGATTAAACAAATTAGTAATTTGTTGTAACAAATTATTAATTTGTTATAACAAATTGATAATTTGTTTAAACAAATTAATAATTTGTTATAACAAATTATCAATTTTTTATAACAAATTAATAATTTGTTATAACAAATTAATAGTTTGTTTAAACAAATTAATAATTTGATGTAACAAATTAATAATTTGTTATAACAAATAAAAAAAAAATACTGCTGCGGCCTAATACGCTTCCGTAAATTTCCGAAGCGTTTGTACAGATAAAAGTTGGACTCCAATCATACTGTCACTTTCTAAAATGTAAACGGAGTTCTGGGAACCAAGATTTGATAAAACACCGGTTTTCGACTCTGAAAATTTCTAAATCATTGCACATTTACAGGATATACAAAAACCATATTCCAAAGATGAATTGACTACTAAAATACGTATACATGTAGTTTGAGAAGAAGTGTGACAGACGAACGAACCTAAGATAGCAATTAACAGTATATGAATCTAAACTCTATTTAAAAAGTGTACTTATACTGGCACAATATGAATATAATAAGAAATTCAACAAACACTCGTTCTAGTGAGGAGTCTCAACTACTATTAGTATTAATTTTTATTTGTCTGAATTATTTTTGATTTAAGATTTATTGACTACAATGTATTTCAATCTGAAATTTTAAGAAGAAGTAATTGCTGGAAATATTATAGTTTATAAACTCATCCATTTACTGTTATTTGCGTGGAACCTTAAGCATCCGTTTGGCATACCAAACAAAACCAAACGACACAAGATGAGTTTGTGAAACACTGATTCTCCAGTATGGCAACTTATGGCGAGGGTTGAATTTTCTCAAATGCACGTCAACCTCCAAAGGTCAAGGTCAAACGGTCAAAAATTTTGGTGCCCAAAGGAAGGTCTTAATACAAGAAAAACACGTGAAATATGAAAGCCCTAGTTCTAACTGTTCAAAAGTATAGGCAAGGTTAAAGGTTTTAAAAAGTAGTTCAAACTCTAAGGTCAAGGTAAAAAAAAATATTTCGACCACTGAAAGGTCTTATCACAATGAATACACATGTGAGGTATAGCAACCCTAGCTCCAACTGTTCAAAAGTTATGGCCAAGGTTAAAGTACTAGTTTGGTATTTTTTTTGGTAAAAGTACGTCAAACTTCAAGGTCAAAAGGCTAAATTGGTGATACTCAAAGAAAGGTCTTGTCACAAGGAATACACCTGTGAAATATGAAAACCATATCCCCTACCACTCAAAAGTTATGGACAAGGTAAAAGTTTTTGTAGACAAACAGACAAACAAACAGTCCTGTCAGACAGACAGACGGACGGAATAGAATCTATTACATGAATTTTCGTTTACTGGAGCATAAAAAAAATTGTAGTGTAATGTCAAATACGTACTATTATTAACACATTATTTTGTTTTGCAGCCAAAATGGCATGCTTGAAACAATTTTAGAAATTGTTTGAGGTAATCAGTCTTTGACGTTGATGAGGATCATATTAAAGGAGTCACGTGTTTCTGCTGATGACTGGTAGACTTACATGTAGTAGAATAATATTTTAACAGAGACTATGATGCAGAGGACAGCAGATTTATCTCCATGTGAGGTGTTATTTATCAAAGACCAGAATTTTATAGACAATCAATTAATGTAGGATGATAACAGCTTTTCTTCGACTCGTAAGAAAATATTTATAGGTTTGGGAAAGAGGAAATTAAATTGCAGCTGCATTAGGGATTTATCATAACGGTCTACGCAGTATGCCATATTTCAACCAAAAAAATGATACAAAACATTGAATCATTCTTTTTTATTTGTTGACGATGTTTCGAGAAATTTGATTGTGCTAGAATTAAAAAAAATACATTAAGTATGGCTTCTTTTAATGTTCATTAAAAACATTTCAGATTGGTGATAGTAACACATTTATTACCTACAATCATTTGAGGATCAATTTTGGCGTCTTGGGAAATTTGTCTTCTTTGTTTTTTTCATTAAGAAATCGGCTTAAATGTTCATTAAATAATTATCAAGCACAGTTAATTGACAAGTGATTTCTAAATATTTTGGAAAAAATACAGCATTACCAACATTTGATACGGCAAGAAATGTTTGTCGAAGTTTTCATCGAAGGTTGTGGAATTCTTTCGACATACGGAGATTTTACAGTGAATACTTACGTCGGAGGGGGGGGGGTAGTATAAAAAAAAATCGTCACAAATTATTAATTGTGTCAATCGCATCTTTCTTGGTATTTGCTCTGTCTAACAATCTCGAAGTTTAAGGGTACATGTGTATGGAAACCCAAGAATTAAGGCGCTCACATGAAACCTCTGTTGTGTTTCTAAGAAGGATCTATACAAATTCAGACAGATTTGCACTCTGCAGGCGGTACCAGATAGCATCAACCAAACAGACAGGATTTTGTGATTAAAACAGATGCTTGTGGCAGAATAAACCTTTTTCTCACATGTACGAGCAAATTCACGCCCCCCCCCCTTTTGGTCTTGCGCGTGAGGTTAGAATCTTTATCTTTGTTTTGAACATATTTTATTGACGAATCAAATGGATTGGAAACAAGTTCTTACAACTTACTAGTTCCTCTCCATAAATATAACAATATGTCATGCAAATAATACATTAAAATATAGTATCTATAATAATTTTCAAGTGATGCAAGTTAATTAATAACATTAATCAATTTTAAATCTACATGTTTCAGTAATAAATCTATATACAGCAGCAAAAATATTAATATTAGTTGATACAGGCAAATCTATATCACCCCATAATAACAGGTTAGTGTCAACTGTAACTAATTCTTCAAGCATAAATAGGTGGTTAAAAAGATTGTTTCTAGCATTTGCATACTTTATACAAGCAAAAAAATAATGGTAAACATCTTCATACTTTCCACATGAACAAAGAGGACTGTTGATAATATTGCGTTTATATAGATCATAATTCAGTAAACAGTTGTGTCTTAGTTTAGTATGAAGTATGTTTGTGTAGCGTTTACCAAAAGAAAAATACGTTGGTGGATTGATGATTTTTGTACAAGCTCTTAAGTTTTTACGGAAGGAATTAATTGAAATGGCTTCTCTTGTGTCTAATTTTAATAAGTTCCATTGTTTCACGGCGTCTGGTACAAATGACTTTTTGAATAGTTCTAATCTACATCTTGGAATAATAAACTGTTCTTTATTGCGGGTATTGTATTTTGATACATTTTCATGCTTGTTTGGTACAATATTGTTCAAATATTCAGGGACAACCCCTTTATGTATTTTGAACATAGTAGACATTTTTGCAACATAACGCCTAAATTTTAAAGTTTCCCAACCAGTTTCTAAATAAAGTGTTTCTGTAGATGCAAAAATAGGAAGTCCGGTGACAATTCTAGCCGCAGCTAGTTGTACTTTTTCCAGCTTTTCAGAATCTTGTTCAGTGCACCCATCCCATACAACAGAAGCGTATTCAAGCATTGGTCTAATAAATGTAGTGTACAATTTTGAAAGGTTTTTCCTACTCAATTTAAACTTGAGTTTTTTTAAAAGTCCAAGTTTTTTATAAGCGTTGTTTACAATACCGTCAATATATGCAGACCAGCCGAGATTCTGTGACAATAATAAACCCAAGTGTTTATGGACTGGGACGCATTCAAGCCTATCTCCTTTGAAAAATAATTTTGGCATAATAGAAATAGTCTTTGTGTTAAAGAAGACTACCTTTGTTTTAGATGGGTTAAATTTTAAAAGCCATTTATCTGACCATGATTCTAAAATGTGTAAATCGTGGTTTAGCTTGTATTCAATGTCTAAAATATTGTATGAACATTGTTGAAGCGAATTATCATCAGCAAACAATCTACACATGGACATCAAATCTTTATCTTTGAACATAATGCATAATTTTTCACGTTAGGTATCGATAATGGCTGTGATTGGAAACATCTGACTTAATCATGATTCGCCCCTAAGCGAAATTATATATTCAAATAAAAATAAAATGTTTTATATTTTAAAGATTCAGTAAAATATGAAACGGAGTTAAAAATTCTAAGAACACGCTACATGTAACATGCAAATTAATTGATACAGCTGTATATAACTCGAGTTCAACACATACATGTACATAAACGAAACTTGAAAATTCTTTTAACTCTTTGTAACTGAAAGTGAATGATAAGATTGTCTTATATAAAATTCCTTGATTTCTGGGTTCTATCCAGCAACAATTATTTGATGTAAAAGTATGGGTCAAGAAATTAAATAATTGGCTCAGGGCGACCCGTATTTCTTATCGTCACCTTCCAACCATGATGACAAGAATTTGTGTCGCTCTCTTATTCGGTAAGGACTATAGAAGGAAAATATCAATATTCACATCGTTATCCGTTTCTAACTGTGGTTGATAGTATTTTTTATCTGATATTTTATAGTTACGTGCTGTCTGTGTTCAACAATTAGAAAATACGGTAAGAAAATCATTAGATTTTAGTTAAGAAGTTTTGACCATTGACACGAATGAATTCAAAATACTGGTATTTTAAGCAATTTTTTCTCAATGAATTCAAAATATTTTAAGCATTTTTTTTTCCTCGAGTTTATTTTTTGTTCAAAAAATAATAATTTCTTTTGACACAGATGAAAATCAGCAAGAACTAAGTGATGCTGTATCAAGTGGTAAGTCTATCTGTCTTGACCAAAGACAATTTTTAAAGACAACATACTATAGTACACTGCAGGAACAACTTGTTGTTGGACAAGCCCCCACTTCTCATCTCTTTATTAACACCCTGGTCCTAAGGATTATTCTGTTGACCTTCATTTGTTTCATTAATTATTCTTCAAGCACATATTTACAAAGTGTTCAATTCCAAAAAATTAATGTAAAATAAATATTATATTAAAAGAAACCAATACGCATACTAACAGTAATTGATCGGGGTGTATTTTGGGGAGATGGGGGGATGCTTTCCCACAAGCACCTATATGTCTGCAGGTAGAATCATATTTCATGCTGCACCGTCATTTTTCATTAGAGAATCACAATTTCGAGTGTTTAGTCAAAGATATTGAGATATATGACCTTTGAATACTAGTAATGGACATGATATTTATTAACTTATCATCAGATTTTCCCTTGAACTCATTTCTCAGATCGTGTGTTATGTGGTACATGTAGCGTACAGATTATTAATAGTTTTATTAGTACAAAGTCATGCATGATTTATAGAATTCCGACAATATGTGAGAATTATTTTCCGTAAGTCTCAAGAGCTCGTCTCTTAGTCTACATAAATGTATTTTTCCTGTTTTTTCTTCTTCTTACTTTTTAGCTTTTTTAAAATTTTGTTTAATTTGTTTCTTTTGGAGTAAGAGAGGACTCACATCACATTAAAATTAAAAATCTATGGACATTCTTTAAGAAATAAGGGATAAAAATTACAATGAATAATCGAATATACAATTCTCTATTTTGAATAGGTTGCCACAGCGACAGAGACTGTGCCACTCACGTTTGTCCTCAAAATCAAGGCGCCAGCTGTCAACATTTTCACTGTATCTGTCATCAGTCTTCTGCACACGGAGGTAAGAGAGAGAGAGAGAGGAGGTTAAATGAAATAATACACTTAGTTTCATCGATGTTAGAATTGTTGTTAATCATCTAGATCTAGATCTAGATGGTGAATTTGAAATACATAAATGTCCATTGATTTAAATGCATGCTTCGTTGCTTCAGTTTCAGTGAACCATACAGATCATGGTCATGGACACGGACAAACAACAAATGCGACCACCAAGACGTCCACCACCGGAACAACAATACAACTTTCTACTACACAATCATCAACAACTCCTCCACCACAGTCAACGATTTCAACATTACAGCCAACAGATAAAGCAACAACCACAAAACAATCAACAACAGGGACAACAATACAACCTTCTACCACTCAGTCGTCTACCACAACACCACAGCCAGCGAAAACATGGGCGCCCTCGACTACCCAATCATCCACGACATTACCACCATCAACAAAGTCTGAAACAAAGCCATTACCATCAACGACACACGCAGTGAAACCATCAACGACAATTCTGCCATCTACAACGCAGGCTTCCACAACCATACAATCATCAACAATAAAGTCAACGACAGAGATGCCATCTACATCACAACCTACAACAACAATGAAGTTGACAACACAAGAAACAACTACAACAACTGTGACATCTTCATCAACAACAACAACTACAACTAAACCCACGACCAAACCGACAACGATATCTACAACAAAAGCAACTACAACTCAATCCACAACAATATCTACAACAAAGGCAACTACAGCAAAACCCACTACAATAAAGGAGACTTCTACTAGACCTTCGACAACAAACAAAGCAACCGCATCAACACTTTTATCAATAACATCATCAACAGAAAGATCTGGTAATTGTTTAATAACTTTATTATGTTTAATAGCATTATGTTACAACAGAAAATCGGTTTTAGTAAATTTCATGCTTAATTTTTTATGTGTATTTTTTTTGAAAGGTTATGTTTCATATTTCAGAGTGCCCATGTACATATTACAATACATTTGTAACCCTGTCAGGGATCGGGACGATGCATTGTGCCAATCCCGACAGAAGGCGCTGTATTGATGGCAGATGTTATTGTGTGGCGGATCCAGACGCTCCATAGTGACTTAATTATAATCAAATATATCAGCTGTGTTTTCCAGCCTATATTAAACTATGCAGTCTATTTCATTTGTTTTGCAAAAGTTCTACATAGAAAAAGAAATATACTTAAAAAATAAGGTTTATGTCCTCTTGTTATTGTGCCGGTATACTTAAAACTGCCATTCAACTAAGTGATTAAAAAGTGCGTTGGCTTGGAGTTAGCTGCAGATCTGTAGCGTTATGGTTTTTATATACTTGTCTTTGACCATAACGCTACAGAACTCCGTAATAAAAAAAATATATACAATTTCACCGCAATATTTTTTGCGCGCTTTTGGGGAGAATTTCTCCGCTCTCTAGCATTGGTTAATCAACTACCTTTCACTCCCTTATTCTAGACACATTATTTTACTAATCTATATATTTTATCCATCTACCTACCCTTTATAGTCGTCTTAACAAGTGATGAACTCACTTGATTAAAAATATGTGTTAGATTGCTACAAATTCACTTCAAGCGAGTTTTTTGTCTTTAGAGACAACCATAAATGGTTGGAAGGTGGATAAAATGTAAATATTGGCTACAGAATGTGTCTAGAATTAGGGAGTGAAAGGTAGTTGATTAACCAATGCTAGAAAGCGGAGAAATTCTCCCCCAAAGCGCGCAAAAAATATTGCGCCGTAAATTGCACCTTTTTTGCATTACGGGATCTGTAGTGTTATGGTCAAACACAAGTATATAAAACCATAACGCTACAGATCTGCAGCTATGGGGTTGGGTGCTAATTTCTTGAAAATATAGGAGAGGGGGTGGACAAATAGACATGTGCACAAAACTCCGGTGAGAAATCACTGTTTAGATTTTATAAAGAAAAAAATCATCAAGACACTGCGTCTGTCATATGTTGGTTTCTTTGATGTCCCATCGAAAATGTTTCACTCATATTGAGACGCCCCCACTTACCGGAGGGAGAGCTGAAATTTTATTGTTACTTGGCACTTAGGACCATTGAGCAGTGAGGAATCTTTTTCATGCCAGCATCTAATGTGACATGATGTACGTGTCCCCATTTTCGTAACAACAAAAAAGAATTGTTTATGAATCAGCATCTTCGCTAGCCAAGGGTTTCTGATACGTTACTCCTCTCATGAGACGAGTAGCGTATCAGAAACCCTTGGCTAGCGAAGATGATGAATCAGTTCCATCAACTATTCAATTGTTTATTTGAGTAACATTATAATACTGTTAGTCTCGTACATACGCAAATTGGAACATCAGAGAAATATTGCATAAGAACTGTCAGATGAAAAGGAAGAGTATGAAAGACAACTCTTCTAGGTATTAGTGATATTATGGGAGTTATCTTCCTTGAGTGAACTCTTCATGGTCGTCTGCTTTTGTCAACAGTTCGATGGCGACAAAGGATACTGGTGACAGGTAGGCCAGGGTTTAAACTTAACGCTCGCCCACTCGCAAATTGCGAGTAAAAATTGGTGTGGGCTCATAAAATTTGTAAGTTGCTCGCCCACGTGGCGAATAAAAATTCTACAGGGGGCCGAATTCATTCCCAGTCCCCTTACTGAAAAACAGACATTTTACGCAGGTTTTTTTTATTTAAACCAACAGAAAAATGAAATAAATCACAGCAGTATGGTCCTATTGTTCGTAAATATCCCTCATCTTTTCCATTTAAAGTACTACACGATTCGTGAAATTCCCTAAAACGATCGTCTTTTTTTCCTAATCCGAATTTCCTCCAACCCTCTGTAAATGGTTGATACGTGAGAGATATACAATTTAAATAACTCCCAACTACTCAGTCATATGAATAGTAAGTGTTTTCACCTATTTCAGATATGTTGTAGTAAAAATATTTAACCTAGAAAATCTTATTTTGTCATTGTCAATTTATTAGTTGAAAACATGTACCAGGGCTACGTATTTATATACATGTATTACCAAGTAAAAAATAAAAGATAGTAAAAATGTTTATTGAATACAATTTTATTTCCTTTGATTAATATTTATATGACATCTGATTTTTATAAAGTAAGAAATCCAATTTTAAACCGGTGAATTAATATATTTATTTCATTGTATCTACTTTTTGTCCCAGTATCTATGCTTTTTAAAAAGATCACAGAGACTGTGGGCTAACAAATTTAGCAGTGGGCTCCTAAATTTGAAATGTCAGGAGCCCACATGGCTCGTGGAAATTTCAGTTAAGTTTAAACCCTGTAGGCCCCCATCTAGTATCTGATATCTTTTGTGTTTTCCGGGGGTCGAGGTGTACTCCTTATTTATGCATGATAAATATAATCATTACAACGTCTAGGTACATGTACCAAAGGGCACTGTCTGTAAAAAATACATCTGTACATCACAGAGAAAAAAAAATTAGAAATGGAAATATATTAAGGGCAACTTTTACCTATCTACTAGGGCCTAGTATATCAAAAAGCCAGGATTAGGAAAACTGAGCAGCAGCTCTAGTTTAGGCCTATGAATCCGAGTGCAATCGCTAGATTAAGATTAGCATTATGATTTTTGAATTGTATGCTGGCACGTACTATGCTTGCAGATGAATAGGCCAAATGAACCTAGACTAGAAAAGGGGTTCCCACTCAATTCTTAAATCTTTTACATATATAAAACGTACTTTGAGTGCCCTTTTTCATTTTTAACTTTACATAATGAGTAATTTTTATGAATCTAGCTGTAGCATTTGAATGTTTATGGGCCAAAAAAATAGGCTAATAGTCTTGTTTCCTGCTACCAGCCTGAAAAAAATAGGGTAGGTAGGTAGGTAGGAAAATTATTTCATTTTTTTATTTTATTTTATTTTTTCCAAAGGTATTTTTTGGATATGAACTACTACAAAACCAAATAAAACATGCCATAGCTAGGTCAACATTAGCTTTTGAAAAAAAATTACATGTCTTTTGATGCACAACTCAAGTGGAATTTTATAAAAGAACATACTAGTATTTTAAACATATATTTCATGAAATACAATTTTAATATACACATTTTTTTTCACTTTTGGATCATAAAATTCCTGCAATTTCCATTTTTTCCCCAAAAGCTAAAAAAAACTTTAGGGTCGGGTGAAAAAAAAATAGGGTAGGTCGGGTAGCAGGAAACAAGACTTTTTATTTTTGGCCCTATATGTTTGTAAGCTATCACACATTAAATAATAAATTAATATATGTACTACACGTTAAAATATATTTCAAAAACATGATATAAACATAGTTTTTGAAGCATATTAATTATAACTTCATTCATGCTGTCACCTTTTTTTCAGCTTTCCTCCTCATATGAGTGGCATTGAAAGTGATAACAATGAAAAAGACGAAGAATCCAAAGACACTCATGCGGCGTCGACAAAAAGGAGACGTACAGTTGATGTAAATACTGAATTATTTTGTGCCATAATTTGATTTTTTTTTCCCAAATCAGAGTGGCTGTGCATTGAAACCCTTAAAATACTAAAATAAAATAAAAAGTAATCACTGACACGTATTACTAAGTCTTAGGTGTTGATAGGTTTATTTCCCCTCCAACCATCGAAATTAGAAGCTTGTTTTTTGTTGTTGTTTTTTTTTGGTACAACAACAATAAAAATCTTTATATTTTAACCAATGTAAATTATGTAATTATTCACTGGGTCATATCTGCTGCCCACTTTTTGACCGTTGCCAGTCCGAAGGGAAAAACGACTCAAAATCCAAGTATGTTATTTCCCCCCGATGCATTAAGTTGTCAATTTAGCAGAAATAACGAAATGCCTTTTGATTGCATAATATGTGAAATTGAAATGGCCATTAACGAATCTTACTAAAGGATCTGAAATGAAAATGTTACATGAATTATGTATATATTTTTATACCCCTGCATCTCCTACTATACCACTTAATAAAATTTAATGATACTTTCACCGATTCTTTATTACATAATGCCACTGTGCACCTCCTATTTTTTTTTTACTTCTGACACAGATTTCGGATCTTCCAGAGAAACCAACTACTAATTAAAAAGACGCCATGTGACTTGATGAAAAAACGGTTATATGAAATTGTTAAATACATGTGCATGTTTATGTATACACGTATATAAGACAGTTTTACATGATGTTTATAACATTTAAGGTAAGTCACTCGTCAGCTTTTTAGAAAAGTTCACGCAGAACCTCTTACTTAAAAAATATTTATTAAAATTCAATTTTTATAAAATATTTATATTCAACAATGTAAATTTTTTAATATTCATCGAAAAAACTGCTTAAAAATCTACAAAGAAGCAAGATTTATGAGGGACTATTTCTTGTGTTGGAAGGATATTCAGCAGAAATTTCTGCAAATCTGCACAATTATCAAATTTAATGTCTTGAAACTTTAGCCTCACATACTTTTACTCGGAGAATATTTTCCGTTATGATACTGAGTATTGCAGGAATATTTAATATAGGTCTTAATTTATATTTTTAAAACAAGTTTTACACCTTCCCTCAACAAACTTTGCCAAGAAATGAAGATATATTAAAGAAGTCAAGATAAAATTTACACCATTTTTTGCCTGAAAATCACATATTTTGACCAATATTTCAAAATTAACATCACTGACCCCAACTTTTTCTTTCATTACTTTAAACTACTTGATACTTGTGACTGATCAGCACTTAACTCTTAAAAAGCTTGATATAAGAAAATATTCTATTGCCGATTTAGTTTTTTAATACCCCAAATATGTTATTTTTTAGTGCAAAAAGGTCACACAATCATAAACGCGCATTAATTTGCAAGATTTGTTTAATGATAAATATTATTCAAACCATTTTATGTAAAATAAGATTAAATTTATTAATGTAGTAACATCTGATAAAATAAAATTAGAGATAAAGTAAAAAATCAGAGTTAAAGTTTAAGTGCAAAAGGGTCAACTTAATTGTACCATAGATCAGTAAGATGCACACTGACCTCCTGTTTTCTCTGCGATTTTGAGTCATACTATATGAGTACTTATCCAAAATATACTTCCCAAAAAATCCTTGATTTAACAAATTTGACGAGTGACTTACCTTAAAAATTTGCAATTGCTAATTGGGGATTTTTTTTACAGAATGAAGGTTTTGTAAGACCAACAACACCAGATATTCCGAAAACATCTCCTTACTATCAATACAACCCCATCAACAGCGCCTATGCGATGTCAAGTGTTGGTATGATTGCCGTTTTAATGCTTTCAGGGATTTTGCGGGATTGGGTGATTACCTGTTTTTATTTCTATATAGAGAATTTCATTGAAATTTTTTTCAGAACCAGATGAATCCTTTGGCCAAAATTTCACATCGTCTTTTCATTTTGACGAAAATGCACCGAGTAGAAGTGACTTCCAAGATTTAGACGAGATCCAATCATATGAAGTCGCACAGCTAGAGACTTTAAAGGACCAATCGTATGAAGTGTCGCAAACTGACGATGACCAATCATATGCAGAGTCTCAGTTTTCTCAGTCTTTTAATAACCAATCAAATGAAGACTCTCAACAGTCTCTTTCAACAGATACATTATCCACAGAAACATCTACAACAACAGAAGATGCCGAAACCAACGAGGATTCTCAGAGTTCATCTCAAAATATTTATGAAGACATGAATATCGGTGAAATTATGACAGGTACGCTGATATCATTCATTACCCTTAAAGACGATAACAAACAAAATTTCTTATTCCGTATTCAGTTTTCTAGTAAAAGTATATAATTTGATTTTGTATTCATTTATATTGGTAGATATGAAGGAAAAGACTGCAAAAGTGTATATGCACTGGATGGAACTGTTTCGGTATTAATCTCTAACTGTTAATTATGACTCTTTATTCATCTCTGGTTCTACAATTCCTATGGGATATCCATGTAGACTCTTATTTTTCATTGCAGTGATGGCGAAAAATTTGAAGAGGAAGTCCCATCTCTGATTGACGATTTACTAAATCAAGCTAAACAGATGGAACAACACCTTATTGAACAGAAAGAATCTCTTCGACAGAGAATTTATGGCATTACACGAACTCTAAGAATTGACAATCTTTGATGCCTTTGACATCCAATTATTAAAGGCAAAATCTGTGTACCGTACAGATGTTAAATTTATTGTATAGAATTGTTAAATGATTCCAGATGGGAGTTTGGACACAGTTATTTCTGTTACCGTGAATATTGAAGGTTTCTTACTTTATGCTTCCAACAAGATGCATTAATGTATAAATATTTGTTTTACATAAATATCGTAGAACTACTTAATGTACAATTATCACATGTATTCAAATAATAACATTTGATAATACAGTGTTATAAGTGTTTGCGAGTTGCAAATTTTTTAATTGCTTTTAATTTAAATGAACATGAAATCTCCACATTTATTCTCAGTGGAACAATGAGTCAATGATCAATTGCAAAATTATATGGTTCATGCTAACTTGTGACAATTCAGTTTAAAAACGTAATTTTGTAAAAAATAATATGAATTCTTCTATCTGCAGATCTGTAGCTCGCTGGTCTGAAAAAAAAATATGATGGACAACCAGAGAGCTACAGTCGCCCATTGAAAAAAAAAAAGTATATTGAATGTGCGCCGGAAAAGTGCACTTTTTCTCAATTATTTTTCTCCATTTATTAATCCTGTCATCTTATTTTGAAAATGTTTGCTAACCATGTGTTCCTACCATATTCTTTAAATAACAAAACATTTCCCCAAACCGGTGTCTATAGCCCTTATGGGCCAGGAATTAAGACCATCGAAAATTTTGCCTATTTATATACTGCCATATTACGTTGCAAAATAATGCGGTGGTATGCGTTTCGTGGTTGATTTGTACATGCAGTTAAACAATATGTCAGAAACACAAGGTTAATGATAATTTGAAATATACGGTGAAAAAATTGAGAAACAGCGCACCTTTTTTGTGCATAATGATTAATTATACACCCTTTTTCAATGGGTAGAAGTGTTGTTCTCTGGTCATGCATCCTAATTTTCTCAGACCGGCAAGCTACATATCTGTAGCTAGAATTCTTCCATTTTCTCAAAATTTATACTAAGATACACATGCATCACAATCAGTTCACATTTTTTTTTACACATTTGGATCCATTCAAAACATAATAAACACAGTGACTACAAAATTCATGACAAACTTGACAATGAAGGGATTTCACAGAGAAAAGAAAGTTTTAAGCTGTTATTCTTCACATAATATGAATAATTTCGTTCAGGTAACCACTGCCATTTTCCATTTCTGTATGATAGAACTATCTGCACAGTTCTGTCTTGTACTTTTGTGACTGTTTCACGTGCCCAGTTAGTGTAAGTCACATCTGAATTGTCACTATTCCACCATTTATTGTGTAGATAATATATACTTCCTACACGAATATTCCATGATCCACTTGGAAAGTCTTTTCCTAAAATGATGAAACAGTAACATTATTTCTTTAAAAAAAAACCTTGATAACAATATTTTATGCCAATGATCTGTGACATGTTATATCTCGATCACAATGTTTGGTGCCCTTACCAGGATTATTCCTCTTGATACCAAGCCATTCCCCGTATGCAGCTCCATACCATACCAACAATTCACTGTTTCTTTTAACATCTTTAGTTGTGAAATAAAATTTCTTTGAGCCACAGTTGAATGTGTCTGTGTTTTCTTCAAATGCATTTCTTGCACAGTTAATGTACCGCAGCCAGTTGCTGGTACTTTCATTCTTACCGTCAATGTAAACAGCTTTATTACCTGAATCTACATGTACCTGTTATAAATTTAAAATTTATATTATTTAAAAGAATATACATGTACTTTTATAATATGTCCTTTCAGCATTTAAAAAAAATCATTACAATGTTTGTAATTCTTACTTGCCAGGTATACGTGAAATCTGTTGTATGCTTTACAACTTCTCCCTCATATTCACCCAAAACTGTGTGTTTGGGCACAAACATATCTGACCACACCCCCAAACTCGCACGAGGAATGAGAGATTGGCGAACAGAGAATCCATGGGGAGTTGTCAGTAACGCTCTTTTCGGTGAACCCACGGGGACCTTCAATACATTCAAATAACAGGCATGCATTTGAAGAATACTTTACTTATTTTATCCCAATTACCCCGGTATTCCAACATGTTTAAGTAGAATATAATTGTTTTAAAAAATACCTGTTTCTGATTCAAAACATGAACCTTGCTTTGTTTCAAATTTCCTTGGATATGTGCTTCACAAACTGCAGAAGAAAAAAACAACAAATATTTGTTTAACTGTTCCAATTTTTCTTTGAAAAAAGAAGAGATCGGGTCACTATCTACTTTTTTATGATATAGAATAGGCTCACCAAGATCGATCTACTATAATAAATAAAACACTGAAATGTGTGCGTTTCAATTCTGAGAAGTCAATATATTTTTTTTAGAATATCACCTGTCGTCGAGCATTGTTGACTGTTGCTACGCTGGAGGGCGTGGCTTCGTCATTTACAGGGTAATAGTGTTTTTAACAAAAAAATTCGACTAATCAAATTTGTTTACATAAAATTATAATCCCCCCGTGTATCTTCACATGTTTCTTGAAGACCTAGTGACACGTGAAGAATTATGAATTTATTGATCCATGTCCTTCAACATAATTATGCAAACGTATATTATTACCTAGATGTTATTTCATCTAATGAGGATAAACATAATGAATTTAACCCATACAGATTTCCTTAAAGACCTTAGCAATAAAAAAAAAGATGACAAAAGTCACAAGATCAACTTTAGAAATTTACACATGCTAAAATTTTCTGCCAAGAGAAAATTAAAAAGATATACTGTAAGATGGATTTTTTTACACTCAAGTACATTGTACTTACATACTTTTTGCAGACTTTCTTTCTCTGTTTTGAGATTATCTACCTACAACAGAAATTACTGTGTGCTTGAAACATTCGTGTTCGATTTCCTATACAGTTAAAGATCATGTTCCAAATTCCCAAAGGTAAGACCATTTCCCAAGGCGAAATAAGCCAGGGAAAATGTCATTGTTGAGGGGGACTGGAATCTTGCTAACTATCACAGTAATAGACTTTTTAAAATTAACTCATACTCTGATTCAAATTTTGAAGCAGATATTAGCTCAACTGACTAACACAACAAAACAAAAATTAAGAGTCCATCCCATTCTAAGGAGTTGTTTACTTTGCTTACCTCAAGACTATTGAAGCCAACATCGTTATCATTTGTGTCTTTATTTCCTGAAATATATAAGAAATGTTTCTTGGAAATTCAGAATTTCTAATATGGACACTTCTTATATTTTTAGAATAAAGTAACCTTTACTTTACCCATCGATTTACAATTAATATGTATTACATTCAATTGAAAACAAAAATCATTTAAGTAATACACATTTAATATCATAATTTAGAGCAAATTTCTTTTGTTGTTAGTTAAAAAATAAAATTGATGGAAAAGCCACTGCTCAAGAAATCTGTAGAGGTTATTTGCTTTTATCTTAACTTGTGGTGTTTACGGAATAACTAATGACAGTGGTAATTAAACTAGACTTCTAGCATGAATTTTAGGACGATTGGAAAGACCTAACAGCTGATCTACTTGATAGAGTATATCTAAATTACGTTTGGTCTGGGAAGACCTACTTAATAAATACTGGGTTATAATGTTCTCTTCCTGTCTGGAGTTTAGCACAACCAAGTGGCCTCCATCTCGCTGACAAACGGATGTCGCCTCATCACGTGACAATTTCTCTGCATGAAAGACGTAGCAATGATGGTTCCATTCCAAAGAGTGTCCCTTGCACCTTGTTGGAAGATTCGGAGAAGCTATCACATGTATATCTATTAAAAAACAAACAATACAATTTTTTTTAATGTAATTTTTTTTTATTTTTATTTATTTATTTTTTTTTTGCAAATACAGATCAAAAATCAATTTTTAATCCATTTTATAAAATGATTTACACGTGAAGGCCTCCAAAAAAGTATACTAGTATCAGTTTGGATATTTCAAGAAATTTTGGGGTGTCTCAAAAATCTGAAATATTTTTCTTTACTTTTAAAAAAACTTACCATTGGTAATTAAAAGATATAAAATAAACTTAATGTGAGTTCTCTTCTGTTTGACAGTCATAGCGGGTATAATGTGAGCTCCTAAAACAAACAAATAAATATATATATATTGGTAATTGTCAAATGAATGTATTATTGATGGAAAAACTTTTTGAGGGTGTGATTATTTTTGTACTTTTTTAATCTTTTGTCAAAGGTCTTCATGTTTTTGTTTTTGATTGTTGTTTTTTTTGTGCAGAGAGGAAAAACAATGATATTACGGTTTCGAAAATGAGCTTTCACTCATTTTTTACGTAGACTATAGATATTCAAAATAGAAATATTTAGAGGAATACATCATTTTACAAAATAAGCTTTTGTCATCTCATTAACGTTGTCATCAAATCGTTTCTTCAAATAACAATCTGTCTTAATTGACAGGAGTGAGGATTTATGATATATTTATATTGATAATTTTACTAACATGTGCCGGAAATATCAGAATAAACTTGTCACATATAATTATACGTGATTCAAAACATAAAAATTAATAAAGCTTATTCTGAGAAAATTCATTTGTCAATTAATATCAAATAAATGTCATTTTAATGAAGAAATTCATTTCTTTCGTGTTTTTTTTTCCCACTTTTGTTTGTAAACTTTCTCTATAGTAACTACATGTATATTTTTTCAGTCATTTGTGTTCCGTGATATATAGGAAAGTCGTGGTTTGTTAATTATAGCACGTACAAAAATAGATATAATCTATTTCAGAAAAAATGTCTGATTTTTACTTTGAACGTATACCACACATAATTAAAACTATTCATTAAGTAAAAACAGTGACTGTGCAAATGACTATGCACTTCTACATGTACATTACAAAAGGCACAATTCAATTGAATTATAAATTTGAAAACAAAGATAGTTTTTTAACGTGGTTAAATATATCTTCTTCTCAAGTACTGTTATACCAATGTCAACAACACAAAGTATTCTTGGCTGAAGGGAATCAGTAGGTCCAATGTGATTTAGATGAGCGTTGTAGCCCTTGGGCCTCTTGTTTAAAATACATGTACTTTGTCTAGACGTTACAAAGAGATATAATTATGATTATTTTCAATAATTAAAAAAAAGAAATAGAGAGATAAGAAAATTAATCCAACGAGTGTGTTTAGGACCTTACCACTATGTATTAATTATATTTTTAGCTAAAATAAATACCTTTAGTTCAGGTAGAGGTATTTTCTTGATGGCAAAAAAAATGAGCGATTCTATGTGGAAAACTAATTTTTAACTGGGTTCAAGAAAATTTTATCAGAAAATTTCAAATTATGTATATAGTTAATTAAAAGAGTCAAAAATAACGAGTGAATCATTAATATGGGAAAAAATAATCAATATTAAAAAACTTCACACATTTACAGAATAACTATATTGCTATTTTATTTTTTTAAAACAGATTTGAAATTAATTAAGGTAATCTGATCCTCAGTCGGGAATTTTCATTTTATGCACTTCAATTAAAGGTTCTTAGAAACGGTCTAATTAAAAGTTGTTAGCTGTACTTCATCTAAGAATTAATCAAGTTACGTATTTAACAAAATCCAAGATTCAGGGAATAGAGTTCTCGCCCTGTCAGTCCGTCTATTTGTCTAGCTCTCTGTATGTCCGCAAAAACTTTAATCCATTACTTTTGATTGCTAAGAGCGATGGCTTTTATATTTTATGTGTGTATTCCTTGTAACAAAACTTTTCTTTACATAGATACCAATATATTTATTCACTTATTTGATTCTTAAAATCCCTTCCGGTCAAACCACTAGATTCAACATATCACCCGTAATTTCTTAAAATGGAAATGAAATGTAAAGGCTGTATGTATACTTTATCATTATATATTTACATTCCAAATATTTTTCCTATTCTTTGCAAATATATATACTTTGTGTTTTTGAACTGCCATGGTTAATGTTCTAACATGGGATGAGTCATATCCATTGTGATATATAGTCCAAAAATATATATACTAGTACTGCATTTTTTTTGTCAAAAATGATCGTTGAATGGAAAAAAAAAATATGTGGCAAGTCATCAGAAAAATAATGTAAATATAAAATATGAATTCAGTTTTTGAGAATTCGAGAGGAGCATGAACAACAACGTTTCGCGCCTGCATATTTATCATGAAGTGCTTCCGATGTTTCGTGTCATGCCCATGTCATGTAGTAAATTTTTAATTTACTGGGTGGCAGTAAATGCAAAATTTACAAAGTAATTTATGTGACATTAAATCCAGAATTTACAACATGAAATCAGCATGAAACTTTCAACTAAATTCAATTGAATTTTAAAGATTGATGAAGTATATTACAAAAGTGAAGTTTTAAAACATGAAAAATAAAGTTCTTTATTTACATGATTGTACTTAATTGTATTTAACTTTTTCCAACCTTTTGTTTGTTTGTTTGTTTTGAAATTTTTTTTTTTTTTTGAAAGCGAGGAATATAAAAAAAAATTCTTTAGATTTTCATAAAAAATATATAATAGAAAACTTACAGTTCAAGTTATTGAAAATCCTTTTTCATATTCACCTTTGAATAAAATTTTCGACAAAAAACGAAAAATCTTTATATAACGATTTTATTAATACGATTGATCACCCACTGGCGCCGTTATTGAAGCATGCAGTGTCGAATGATTAAAATTAAAACGCTCCATATTGTGGTTTATGGGCAGAAAAACTTAAGTTTTTGTAATTAATTTTTAGAAATTGATAATTGACATAGGGTTGACATAATTATGTGTCGCTCAAAGATATTCTAATTGCGTGACAAGTAAAGTTGCACATTCTTTAAGTATTCTTATTGTTACAAAGTGGATGGTAATACATGAACCTGTGTATCCTCGAAAAAAAAAATAACCGCATGTGGGAAAATCGGAATGACACGGTAATCTTTTTTTCAATTAGGAAGATTTAAGATTATCATTCATGACGCGAATTAACCACTTCGCGGAATTGATCATCACTTCTGTTAGAGATTGAATACTTTACACTGAATAATCAGGGGCAAATACCTGCTGACAAAGCATCTCTTTCATTATTCACCTTACAACTACTATACATGTATATATAAAATATGTCGTGAAACTGATTAAAAGAATTAATTTAAGTTATTTTTAGATGAATTTATCTATATTAGTGCTGTAAGATATTTGAACCCATAAACTTTTAAACCCTCAAAGACCCAATTTTCAAAAAAAAAAATTATCAATCAAGTTAACTTTTGAAAAAGAAAAGGTGGGGAAATCATTTCATATCTGACTTGTGCATTAACTAAAAACCAGACCGTTAAAAGTCAAAAGGTATGACTTTAAACGGTCACCCTATGACCTTAGTCTTGAAGTTTGACCTTTTAAAAAATAACATTGCTGGTAACTTTTAAATAAAACAAACGTAGCAGTTCTATTTTACACGTGCATAACTATTTCAAGGCCTTTTCAAAAATTTACAGTGGTTTTTACCCAATAGACCCTGACATTAAATTGAAAAAAATTACGCATGCAAAAGAAGGGAGCTCTTCTGGTCTTTAAAAAATCATATCTTTAAAAATTAAAAGGCTAAAAGCAACATGAATCTTCGTATTACAAAGTGACAAGAATTCTTTAATGTTTTTTTCAAAATGCTACTCCTCTTCTGATTTCAATACTACTTGGCACAGAAGCAGACTAAGATACATAAACTAGTGCATCGATTTGTGATTTCGATGTACGGTGTGGCCGTGGTTACTAAAAATACGATACTCCAACAGTTTTGGCCTGATTTCAATATAACTTGGCATACAAGTAGACTATACTTGGATACATAGAGTAGTGCATCGATTTTTTATTTCGATGCATGGTGTTGTCATCATATATAATAATATATAAGATTTGTTAAATAATAATATATAATCCTTGGTCTGATTTTAATATAAATTGACACACGAGTAGACTACACTAAGGTACATAATTTGAAGAATTGGTTTTTGATGTTGATTAATGGCTAATTTAGCCATGGTTATTATAAAAATAGAAATTTCTGTGAAATTCTTTAGACATTATTCCTGCTACAGTTTTGGTTTTATTTCAATCTAATTTGGCACAGAAGAAAAAAATGGAATAGTCTTGCTGGTTTTTGCTTTTTGAATTTTTATTGTTATTATATTGATGAAATTTCTTGTTTTTTTCTTTCAAAAATTAACCCTTCTGATAACTTTTGGTAAAAGATTTCAAAATAATAATTTGGCACACAAATAGACTATATTTACATGTATAAGATACCTAATTCCATTTATTGCTGCCTGTTGCAAAGTTTCAAATCCAAGTGCTACTTTTTATTTGTTTTTGACATTAAAGTTAACCTACAGTCTTTAAATTATTTCTTTTTTAATATTTAACAGTTACTTTTGATTGAAACAAAAAAAGATAGGGCTTTCATATATTACATGCACATAATCTATGACAACACCTTTCAGAAAGAATTATCATTTTCTATTTCAGGACCTTGACGTAGAAGTTTGACCCACTTATCTTTTTCTTTTTCCTTCTGTCACAACAGACAGGGCATTTATGACATATGGAAATAACGAAGAAAATTCAAATTAAAAGTGCACTGAAACAATTCATATCGGTTGCAGAGCAAATGGTGACCCCCAAAACATTTTACTTTTTGATGTCATGAACATATATGCATCCCGGCATAGCAAAACAGGCAATGCGCTCCATGACATAATCAGGCAAGCAAACAAGAGGCTAATGGGCAACATCAGTACCTCTAGTTTCTTGGTGACTTTTGTTATGTAACTTTTGCCTTGTAATAGAAACAGTGCATTTTAACAATTTAGAATGCTAAAAATGTTTCAGCTTTTATGGCCCAAAGGTAATAGAAACAATACATGATTTTTACGAATTTTTTCTATTCATAACTTGGATTCCCTATTGTGGCCCCATCCTACCCCCGGAGGTCATGATTTCAACAATTTCAATGTAGAATCTACACTACCCCGGGATGCGTCCACATAAGTTTCAGCTTTTCTGGACCATTGGTTCTTGAGGAGGTTTCTAAAGATTTTCTTATATATTTGTACGCAAAACTTGGAATTCCCTATATTGTGGCCCCGCCCTACCCCGGGTCATGATTTTAACAATTTAAAATCTACATATTAAATGCTTACATATGTTTCAGGTTCAAAAATAAAGTGTATATTGAGAAGATTTTTTTATATATATTCTATGTAAAACTTGGATTCCCTATTGTGGTCCCACCCTGCCCAAACCTGAGTTCTATAATGAATTTAAAAAAATAGATTTTTCACACTTTAGCTGCAGCTAATGAGAGCCCAGTGGTTGTTGAGAAGAACATTTAAATTTCAGATGACCCCATCTTATTTTTGTAACATGCTTAAACATATATTCATCCCCTTGTTAGAGAACTTGGCCCTTTATTATTAAAATCAAAAATCCCCTTTAAAAGGATGCATTAATGTACCAAGTATGAAATTTTATACCGTTTTATGAGAAGAAGTTGAAAATGTAAAAAAAAGCATTTTTTGCTAGAACTACAGACTATTTGGTGTATGGATCACCTTGATGAATGCGTGAAAATTTCACTTGCGCTTACAGCTCAGGTGAGCTAAAAAAAACCAAACAAAACAAATAAACAAAATTCTGTTTCTTTGTTACTAGTGCATCACATATGACTAGTCTTTTGGGGCTATATTATAATACTTGACCTTGTAACCTTGATTTGGAAGTTTGATGTATTTTTGAGAAAATGTCTTTTTTGTTAAATATCTCTACTGAGTCTTTTGAGAATTTTTCTTTTCTATTGTGGCTCCATCATTTGCACATGATGGGTTGCATGCGTAAATTTTAAACTTACATGTAAACTAGGCACTCTGGTCATTGAACATTGAGGATTTTTTTTTGCGCCTGCAACTATTGCTACATGGCACATCAGTTTAAATACTGTTAATACGGCTTCAATTTCCACATCCTGCAGTGAGATTGGAACGCACAACATAAGGATCAACTTCTTTCTCTGCAATTCTAGAGCAAACGTTCTCACCACTGCGCCAAGCAGGGGACTATAATATACAATATGTTCATGTTTCTTGATGTAGTAAGAGATGTAAAACGGGAAAAAAAATATGTTAATGGAAATAGGAAATCTCTTAATTACACAAGCTCTTCTAATTTACCGTACTGTATGAATAAGAACAAATTCTATAATATGCAATTTATTTATTATCAGTCAACATGAATACCACCCTATTATAGTACTTTTGACAATGGCACTGATGGAATCTCTAAATTGTGATTTATATATCGTCTACATATCAATCCCTCAAAAGCCCAATACATACATCAATCTTGTATTAAGCTATTCTTTAATGTTAAGTAACAGAAAAATTTGTGTCATATCTCTTTTAACATAACTGTGACAATAATTTCTAATACTTTAAACAGAAAATAATATGTTGTTGAGATTTTTCTGTAGACACAATAGATAACTCAATTACACAGAAGATGAGTCTTTACAAAACTATACTCTGACAACTGTTCAATACTTTCAGTACTTTCATTATCACAGCTAGATGTTAAAATTCTCTTTCCACCATTTCAATAGATAATCAGACATTTCCAAGTTTTTAAAATGTCAGACATTCTCCTCTCATTCCTGATTTCATGAGTGACCAAAAAAACTTTATACATGTAATGGAAATGCTGTAACTCCAATACTTATATTAAGCATATATACAACACACCTAAGACCCCTTATTATACAAGTGCTTCTGTCAAAGGGTGTCAACATAATGAATTTGTGATTATAATGCCAGAACTCCATAAATATAAGCCATAGATTATAAATTACAATATGGAATACTCCATATTTCACTGAAAATAAGGCAATGTGCTTATATTTACATGTAGTTGCAATATTACAGAACATGAAAAAAAAACTTAGGAAAATGATGTTGAAAGTAAATTTCAAGCAATGACTAGATGTACCAATCTATGAATGGGTAGGTTGATTCACAACTGAACTTTTTATGGGTTTTCAGTTTTAACAAAGTTGAATGTGGCATTGATCTGCAAAGGTGTGTGTAACCTGAACAGTTCTTGCCACAAAATGTAGCAATTAAAATATTACATCACACACTGCACACAGTTACAAGTTGAAGCAAGTAAAAATTTGCATCCTAAAAATGATGCTGATTTGTTGAAATTAATTTTTAAAATAAATTTACTTTGGTACAAATTTCAATCTCCATTAATATGCTAATTGTTTCTTTTGATTATGTATATATAGACAGGAAAGTTAGAATGTGGTGTTTGCCAAATATAACAGATCTCTTGTATTTTTTTTTTAAATTGGTAACTTACAAAAAATCAAAACATTTTAAAAACCAATACACATGAATTTCATAATGAAGACATGTCAAGCATTCACATTATCAATTACATGTTCAGTATATAATCAATATAGTGATACCAAATGGAAGAAGGTCCTGTAAAGTTCACTTCAGTCAATCAAATTTTAATTATAGATCAACACGTTTAGTACTGACTGTCAGTTAGATTTTATGGGGAGCTTACTTTTATGTCACTGTGAAGTGGAAAGACAAATTAAAATTCATTGATCATGTGACATTTTACTTTTTTAAAAACTGAATGGCACTTTATTACACCAATGTATCGCTGCCCTGTCAGTTTTGAATTAATCTCACATTTTTCCCAGACAATTTTAATGTCTTTGTGAGATATGGATGCACAGAAGTTGCCATTAACTAACACAGAAAAATTAATTACATTTACCCTCAGTCAATAGATTTAGCCCTAATTAGATTAAGTTTCTGTGACATAAGTTATAGTACATGTATTACATTTTTTTCTTGAATACAAGACTACTCTAACATACAAAGCAGATTAATAACAGACCAATAACAGTGCAGAAATAATTGTAAATCACAAACAGTATATAATTTTTAAGTATTAGAACATTTTTAAAGAGCAAATCAAACTATTTTCATACATTAAGAAGTCTATAAGTAGAAACACTCCCTAAAGCAACATTTACAGCAGGGTATGACCTAAAGGCAAAAATAGGTCAACTATCAAATCATAAATCTAAAGAGTACAGAGGGATAATGAGACAAATATGAGGGATGTGCTGACGAGTTTAAGCTTTATACAGCAACTTCATGAAAAAACAACTTTCATTCGTGGATTATGTCATGTGACATAAAAATACGATTTTAAGAATGCGAACAAACAAAACAGACTGGTTACATATAATAAGGTTTAAATCAAATGCTTGAGTGTCGAAACATCTGGAAAAAGACTAAAATATTTCCAATCTTATTTTCGATGTTAAATGAGTATTGTCTGAAATTTATAAAAAGTAATTTTGAATAAAAAAATATTACAAGTTTTTTTCATTCATATCCATGTGCATTCACAGGAAAAAAAAATTCTACTTTATAAAAACTCATTTGATGTATAATAGCCTGTACTAATGTATTACTTAAACTGTAAAAGGTATACATGTACTTTATAAATTTGAGACCAGATTTTATGATACAAGTATGTCCAAATAATGGAGAAACTAAGAGCAAAATGGAGAATAAACCATTATTTTAAATTCATGATACTAAATCCCTATAACTTAAAGGAAGGGTTACTTATGAGCCATTTTCAATAAATGGCATGTAAAATTTGTGTTGAGTTATAATCCATTAAAATTATGTATTTGTTACCCTACAATTAAATCTGTATGCATTGTAACAAATTGACAGAGATGATGAACAAAACATGCCATCATATTATTAAGTCTATATGTTAAATTTTATTGTACAGAAGTAAGAGTTATTTACAGCTCAATACTATCAGTTATCTTGTCTTATTATTAGTTTTTTGGACATGTCCATCCTGTGAACAATATCAGAAGAAACTTAAAATTGGACGGATCCATTTCCCAAATTGCTCAACAATTAAATAGCACTAAAGCCCCTCTCACTAGGGGTTCTTGTTAAGGTGTACAGAAAGATAAAATTTTAAAAATATTTTTTGAAATTTAAAAGCATACACACACTTATATGCCCAATATTCTTTATGTGCTTGTGTTTTACGCATTATTCAAAATCTAGATGAGGACAGATTATGCATTTTTATCAGATATCATGGAATAAACATCTTAAATTATGTTCTGCAATATATGTGAAATGAATACTGTAAATGTATTATATTTGGCTGTGTATTCTTTTTAGCGCTTTTGGCGGAAAGAAACTTCCACTAATTCAAGTACAACGCTAAATGTCTTACACATATACTCATAAATAAGAACATTAGGAAATACGCTAAATCAAATCTACGCTAACTTGTTCAAAAGACAGTTTCCGCGAAATATCGTACACGCCAAATATAATACATTTACAGTAAGCTTACAGTGTAGCCGCAAAGATTTAAAGTTTTCATTCAAAGTCTTACAAAGTGATGCAAAGATTATAGATTTATTCGAGTGGCAAAAAAGGTCAGATTTGCATAAACATAGCAAGCTGACAATTTCCTAATTATGTTTTTCAAAAATTTGATATTTTCATCACTCAAAACCAAAAAATTTTCAAAAATATATTTCAATTGAGGCATTCACCTTTTTGCTTTTACCATGTCCCCAAGTTATATAAACTTCATTATATGGGGTTAAAATAGAAGCTATATGAGTTGTATACATTCATACTTTAACAATAATACACCAAGGATGATCATCTTGGCTTCAGAAAAAAAAATTATAAAGCAACAAAGAGATTTCCTCCCAAAAAAATGTATAACAGTAAAATGATCTCATCATTTTATACATACACAACACATGAAATATAACAAAATAATCAATAAATATGAAGGATATGATGTCCAGTAATTTTCTTCTTTAATCAGAGTGTATTGTAAAACTCTGGTTATACACTATAGCTATACTTGTAGTGCCACAGCAACAGGCTTCACAAGTACATATATTTCTATTTAAATAATCCTTTCATGCCATTCTTTATAGCTTTTGAACAATGATGAAAATGCATTTCTCTCTTTCTCTCTCTCTCTCTCTCATCCTTTCTCTCTTTCTTGTTTTCAATGACAGTCATAAAATCCAAGAGTTGCTTTCCATGGTCATTCTTTACATCTACAGTAATGCGTTTTTTTAATGTACTTAATTGTCTTTCTTTTGGCATTTATAATCAAAACAGTATTAGCCCATACAAAAACTGCATCCCTGCCTAAATTATGTCCAAGACCTGAAATTTCAATGTCAAATTTCTTTGGTTTACTGGTCTTCTTCACATTTTATTCAGTAAGAAATTCCCATCCTATGGCCATGTGAAACCTTTGTTTAAAATACAGATCTTTAAAACCTTTCTTTTGGAAGATCTGGCTCAGATGAATATGTATGATGATACGATAATGCAAGCCACCAAACACACCTTGACCAAGGAAAGCAAATCATTGAATATATATTTACATATTATTCCACAGCTTCAATGTCATACTAAGACACAAGGGCACTATAGCTGTCTTTGGTTTGCCTTCCTCACAATTCTAGAGCTCTGCCCTTCAACACATGGATATGGTGACATTGATGCCAAGGTTGCCATGGTCGGCAAATAATTGGGCAATGTTTGTATCGAACACGAGGCAATCACTGGCAATGATGGCGGACTGTACGCCATCGTGAATACTACGGGGGGTGGCTTCCCAGGACAGACGTCGGCGATGACCGTTTAACTCCAGTCTGAAAGTTCAAAACAAGAATGTAGTAAAAGCTTATATTAAACAATGTGTAATAACAAGAAAATAATCAATCATTATGTTTGAGTGTGAATATGCACTCTCAAGGCTTCTAGATTTGCCAACTAAGACAACAAGCCCCCATCATTCTAAACTGTAGCTTGCTAAAGTGATTTTTCTGACAGAATTGACAAATTTGTTATTTGTAATAGTATTTATTAAAAATTTGATTTGAACATGCTTTATTATCTAATAATACATAAATGGATTGGGCAGCAGTCATATCTCTATACTCAAACATAAAATTATCTTGACGAGCCTATCCCACAGGTATAACTCCCTGAATTCAAGGCATTAAACTTATACATTCTTACCTGTATGCAAAGTTCTCGGCCTGCTTGCGTGTGCCAATCAGCTGCACAATGGCGTAGAACATTTGCTGACCTTCCAGCTTCTCCTGTTTCTCCAGGACCAGCATGAAATTGTGACCAAAGCAGGACTGCATCATGACCCAGTCCACTGCTCCGGGGAGGTTGATATCGGTGGCGAGGAATACTATGTCCTCACCTAAAAAACAGCACATCAGAAAACGCTACTGCAAAAAATCTTCAAAAGGCAAATTGATCACATTTCCTGTGGAATGTGGCCCTAATTAAACAAGGTATATTTTTGTCAAGTAATAAGTAAATAATGAGTTTGACAGTTCTCCATTGACTTGCTTACAAACTGGACTTACATAAATTATCACAAATCACAGAGGACAAACTATATAAGTAAGAGTCTTATTTGGCAGTCTTTGACACAGAAATAAAATAAATTTTTTTTTTTTTATATTTTGTGATTACAAACTAAAATTGATGCTGGTTTACACCAATAGACTTGACCTACCCTGCAGTGTGGTGATACTTTTATGCTGCTGCATCAGATGCTGCATAACCTGCTCCAGAGACCCCTGCCATTTACACGAGGCTCCAGGACAAGGGCAGCAATAGGGTCTGTAAAGAAATAGCTCTGATAATTATAGGAATTGTATTATACATGTATTTGTAGTGAATTATCACAGAAAAAATTGTTGGACAAAACTAAATTAAATAAAATTACTAATATTTGTCAATTTCACATGAAAGTGTGTTGAAATTTGCTTACTTTCCAAGGCTTGGTTACTTTATGAAGACCAAGAAAAATATATCTTTTTTTTTTTTTTTTAAATTTCAAAAAGTGACATGTCAAGCTACATAATAAGATTTTTATAGTCACATTCACACACACATTCACACTTTCCCTCTGATTTTAAACAAGAATGAAATATTAAATAAAGTCTTCCATTCAAGAAATATTTATAGTTGGTGTTTTAATAAATGTTTATAACTCAAAAATATTAATCCATGGTGACCATAGATTTTCAAAATTGTTCATTGTATATTTTGTACAAGGATTGTCCCAAAATTTTGTAGACTGAGCTTATATCTTTTAAAGGAAGTAATGAATCTTTATAAAATTTTCAGGGTGGATAAAGCGTGTTCTTGGCAGATAAATTATGAAGTTTTATCAAGTTTACTCAAATTCTTAAATTAAACAAAATGGTTACAGTTATAAATGTGAAATATCTTAATTACTATGATATGATCAAACATTAAAATATGTAAACAAATTATATGCATGTACAGGTATGAAATAATAATAATTTGAAAACGCCATATCTCTAGGGGCTTTTCGTCTGTTTTCTCTAATGGAGTTGCACAATGGAACTCTTGCCCATTTCTTAGCCCTGTCTTTTATTTTAGTTACTGTTATTCTCATATACATCATGCACATAGAGAAACCATTTAAGTCATTTTAAATACTAAGGACAAGAAAAAGTTTCCTAATCTACCAAACATTTATAACTGGTACATTTCGGTGAGAGTGAATTTAGGATCAAACACTTCATCATAGTCCAGTGCGCAGCCTGTGCAAACGCAGCTGTCATTTTTCAGAAAGTCGGATTTCAACCTCATGACTCAGACTTTGTATATAAAACGTTATAAAATTCATATTCATCAAAGCATAAGCACCAAAATTTGAGGAAACAAATAACAGCTTTTCAAAAAGCTTGCCTGACTAATGCCATCAATATCTATAGAACCCATCTGAAGGACCAATCTCCACGTTCCGCTGTGGATTCGAACCCGCGACTTAAAGATGAACACCTCACTCCGCGAGTCTAAAAATGGTTGCAGAGGATTGAGTCAATATGGTAAATAAGGAAATATAATTGATTTATGCTGGAAAATGGTGGCTATGTATGTAAAGGTTACATAAATTAGATTCAACTGCATACAGCATAGGCTATGAGGAAGACAGTTGAAAATATGATAACTACAAGAAACTGGGAATCGTAAAGGTTATGACTGACATGAAGAATATGCTAGTTTTTGGGTACATGCCAAGCATCAAGGATTGTTGGAAACGTGGAATAAATAAAGCCCATTATGTATAATGACCCAACAAACTTAATGGTGATATATGAATGGCTACTTTTAGAAGTGGTACATTAAGAGATATAATGTTAAAAAGTATTTTCAAAAAATTAATAAACTCTCACAATCCTTAAATAAGAGGAGGCACTTTCCTAAGTCTGTATTCTGTTTTTGTAGAAGGAAACCCCTGTAAGAAGGGGGGGGGGGGGAGTTATGACCAAATGTATATTTGGCCAGTTCGTACTCTTAAGAAGTTTTTGTTCGTTTCGTTTTTATTACTTTAAATGATGTATCTTATATATACAATATCAGAAATGTTTTTTTTTCCAAAGCTCTATAAGGACAAAAAAAACACACTTCATATAATTAATGCAGTTTTCATTTCCATTCAACATGTTCAATAGAATAGTCCAGGAAAATGATGCCAAAACTTACAGGTGACCTATTGGTGCGAACTGCGAAATGATTGTGTCACCCCTTACCTAGAAGACAAATGGACTAATCCAGTAGTATAGAAATGCAGAAAAAAGGTCAAACGGACATGTCCATATAGGAACTCGCATGAAATAAATAGCTGCATGCAAAAAAACTAACGGAAATAAATGCATCAATATATTGTATCAGTAATATGGTTATTTTTCTAACGCCGTGACGTCAGGCAATATAGTCTACAGTGAATTTAGATCACACTTTCAACCAGAAAGCAAAGATGAAATTTTGAAATGTCAGATTTTTGCTAATAAATATATACAATTTCGAGGCAAAAGCCTAATATATATAGAGTCTTTTATTAAATGTGGTTTACAAACTATTGGAGATATCTTGGATAACGATACTACATTGTAAAACTTTTAAGACTAATGCTTACATATTTTAAAAACTTCTTGATAAAAGGAGTTGGATTTTTGAATACAGTAAAATAAAAGCCACTATACCTAAAACATATCTTGACATTCTTGAAGGGAGAAATACTGTTCATAAATTTTGAAGATATAAAACTTAAAGATATTTAAAGAATATTAAACAAAAATATCACTCAAAAATCTCAAGAAAAATTGGAGAAATTTATGCAAATTGAATTCACATGGAAAAGAATTTGGGGCTCAATTCATGAAGTTAGGTTAAAACAAAAGATTCAAGAATTTCAATGGAAATGTTTGCATAATTAACATCTTAAACACTGAAGAAAAATCAAGTAAAATGGGTTTATCAAATGGTAAATGCTTTTTCTGTAAATCAAATATTGAGAGTCAGAAACATCTATTTTATGAATGTAAACATATCAAACCACTTTTAGAAGTGGTACAAAATATTTATAATGTTAAAAATTCCTGTAGTGAATCCAAAGTTGATATATGTATTGTTTTACTGGGATTTGCTGGAGAACGCAAAAATGTTCGAATTTGTGCTAACACCTTGATTTATATTCCGGGGTATATACATGTAAGTGGTCAATATGGAAACAAGAAACAGCATCAAGTATGAAAATATAAGTATTAATTACTACTTCAATATTCTTGAATGAATTCAAGAAAGAAATGAAATTGATCTTTCAATTACTCTTAAGAAATTAGCCCCTTCATGGTAACTGCAGTACAACACTTTTGCAGGGCAAAATAATAATGTTTGGCGAAGATTTTGTTGAGAGACAATTAAATGACGTATATATAACAATTTCTTTTACGTCATATTTTACCAAACTATACCATCTTGCCCTGCAAAAGAGCAGTACCACAGTTACCGTGAAATGGTCTATGATAAGAGAAACTTCAACAGAAATTTAAAATTAATATTTAATAGATATGCTTACAGACTTCAATTAATTAACTGTTACCTTTTTTCCTCACTACAGATTTAAATAAAAATACAATGATCTTTTCACAGATATATATGTACATTCTATTGTCACACTCTCACCAAAACTGATTCCATATTTATATAAATACATATATTATTTGATTTATATGTATTAGATGTAAAGTTATGTGTGTATGTTGCTGTAGGGATTATTATTATTTATTGTTATAGAGGGAGCTTAGTCAGGGCCCCATCCCTGGCAGCTGCCCTACATATCAGCTGTTCATTGTTATAAGTCTGGGAAATAAATGTTGGGGCAACTTGGGGAAAAAAAAGGATTCTATACTGTAACCATTGAGCAGAAGTATCCATAGTTGTTCTAAAAAAACCTTAAAAACATTTTGAACACAAATATCAGATTCTAAAAACACTGATAGTTCCTGGTTCCATCTAAATAATAAATATTGATGTAGGAATGACATTGTTTCTATTCAAATATCTATAAATTATTTTAGCGCACTTTTCAAATACAATAATATTTTCAAAATAAAAAGGAATAAAAGGGATACATTCCCTCTTAATAACAGATGATTTATCTATAGACATTGTTTTTAAAAACCTGGATATAGCACAGATAATACTGTTGTATTTGCATAATGCAAACATTACCCATTCAATTATTGAATGGAGAAAAATATATCTTTAGTTAACTGTTTTCCAAAACCTTTGAGTATATTAAAATATATTCCAAATTCTTAGCCACAACACATGCCAGAAAAATGATGCACTGATGAACTGTTAAAAATCACAGTTTTATAAATTTGTTCTATTTTCTCTAAAATTCCTTCTGTAAAATGAAATACCCAGAGCATATCAGAATTTTGCATGTGTGATGAATTAAAATGTCCTTTGGTAACATGGTAGGCCCCCTCCTATGACTTTTGACCTTACCTGTATTCACAGGTTTCTTCGTGCTCCTGTTTGTCTGTGTGGAGGAGGGTAACAGGACAACCACTGGAGGAATATTTACAGGGGAACATCACCGTCGTGGCCACCTTCTCCATGGCCAGGTTCCTGATGTTGCCTACATGAATCAGAGACATAAAACATATAAATACAATAATCCCTGCGTACAGTGGTTTTTCTTCCATTTTTTATTTAAGACATATAATGGAAATCCAAGAAATGACCACAATTTTTGATTTGAACATATTTTATTGAACACAATCAATGGAATTGGACACACTCTACAAAATTTTCGCACAATTTTCTAACCGAAAATTGAATAGAAATTGTAACTAGGAGTAATTAAGACTCCTTGGGAAAAAAGTAAACTTACGGTATTTTACGATAACAAATCTCCTTACCTAGAGGTCCGCGACATGTTGGACACATGTTTAGCTTCTGTTTGCAGGCCTGGCAGACAATATGGCCGCTCTGACACTGGGTGATGGGTGGCAGTGCATAGTCGAAGCAGACAGGACATTCAAAGAGGGAGGCAAGGTCTGAATTACTGCTCCCTGCCGCAGCTGTTAAAAGAGAACGGATAACTGTTAAACTTATATCAATAGAATGAAGTGTGTATACTTGTGAGCATAAACAGTATGCATATTTATCATGTTTATGTACAACATACAATGACATATATGACCAAATCACAAAGTTTCTTCAAACATGTCAAATAATCATATTTGGGTTTTTTTTCTAAAGAAAACTTAAGGTAATATCTGCCACAGTTTACTGTACATGTAATCAGAAACACTTCACATTTGAAAAATTTTCCATGCAAACAAACAGACATTAGCTTTAATTGTGAGTGTTCCATCCAAAAAAAACAAACTTTTAAAACAACAATTCTTTAAAATGGTGTTAAAATTCTAAACACCATACCAAAAGCCTGAACAATCCCATCATGGTAACTACAGCATCATACTCCAATAACCTCAATATACATGTAGTGACAGTACATTTAAACAGTCCACTGTAACATATGTATTTTCTATGCTTGAAACCTTAACCTGCAAATGTTTCAGTTCAACCTAACTTTTCCGAGTTCATACTCTCTAAAAATTCCTCAAAACAACAAACACAAGACCAAGAATACAAAATAAACTTACCAATCATTTCAGTTTGTAAATCAGGGATATTGTTACACATTTTGAACAGTGTGTATTCCCTCACACATCCATAAATCACAAATTTACAATTCTTCACAAATACACTTTTTTTCAGAAACTCATTCAAAGAAATGAGTTGATGCTTTCTCTGTGAAAAACGTGATAATTGTGTCCATTTCTGCACATTTGCAGACTGACGTACCTGGTAATTAGCAAATTATCACATCTGATATGATACCTTTGGAAAAAATCAATTTTTTTCCTGCTGGCTTCGTCCATGTTATTAAATAAGATGTCTTTTAGAAAATATGCATGTTGACAAGATTAATGCTTTTTTAAAAAAATGCTTATCTTAGCTCTTAGGGAAGCCCTTTAAATTTGTTTTTATGGGCATTCAAGATTTGGAAAGATGGGATTTGAGTGTAGGTGAAAAATAAGAAGTTGGATCCCCCTGGATTGTGTAACATTCAAAGATGAGTAAAGTATTTCACTTTTGTAACAAAAGTATCCAATTTTATCATCTCAAACATTTGTTATATCAAGGTAGTCTCAAAATAATATTTGTCTGCTAAAAATTAACTAGTATAAGTGAAGATATTGTGTAAAGTTTTAAGTACAGTGTATTACTTGTAATGTTTTACAGTCTACCATCTTTTTTTCCTTTACTCATGATACTGCTACATACATGGTTTAGACTTTCTTTATTTTGTGGCTTGATTTTGTTTAGGAATCATAAAAGCACTAGCAAATTGTATAATCATGATAATCAAAAGCATGAATTTGAAATATCAACCTTTTTTCAGACAGGCAATGTTAATAAGTAATGCATGCATTGTTTCCATGGAGCTAGGTATTACAGAATTGATACGGAGGTGGGTACTCATTTTCAAAGTACAGTAAAACTTGTCCAATCTGGCCACCACTGGTCATACATAAAATAAATAAGTTAAATATAAATAAAGATATGAAATAAATAATAATTAACACCAACTGAGTCAAACTTTCTTTTAAAAAAATATATAAAGAACTTTTTAAAATAAATTATTCTTATATGCAAAGAAATAATTTGTTTATTTCAATGCAAAAAAAGATTTTATAAGCTATTAAACATATTGTGATACATATTGTATCAAGGCTTAAATATTGTAAAACGTATCGATATAAAAAAATTTGTATCGTCCCAGCCCTACATCCAAATCACTTAGACATGGTATCTGAAATTGTTAGAGAAAGTTCAACTGTACATGTATGTGTACATATCAAAACAAACTCACCTAGTGCAGCCTGTGTGTTGATATTTGCAGTTCCGACATTGTGTATTTGCTGGCGGGGTTGTTTTCCCGAGGACGAGGGCTGACGACTGAGGCTCATTATAGCCGTCTTCTTAAAGAGGACAAGCTAGGAGCTGTCAAAAGAAACGGTTATCATATGTGAATTCAAAGCACACAGTTTAATAAGTCTATTTATATTATAATAAAGCTCTAGAATAGATAATCATTAGAAGTGGATGGGCAGCTTTCATCATTCATGCACCCAAAAAATAATAAATTAAGAACAAACAGGAGCAAAAATTATCAGCTGTTACTATATTATATGGGCAAATTGGAACCCAAGAGATTTAAAGGGCAATATATCATGTTCTCACAGCAGTTTTCATTCAAGAAGGGATTATTAAAATAAATGTACATGATTTGAACTTCATATTCTACATTTATTTAATTACTTTTCAATGTTATTTCATACCTTTCAGTCTGATTAAAATGAAACCCTAGTGCCTCTATTCTGATGGTCATGTAGAATGATTAGAATTGATGCATTTTGTTGTCTTTCTAGTTTTAAATATAGTAAAACAAGATACTGAGCTAGATGCATTCAAATTTTACTTTTCTTTCATCCAAGGAATTTTAACTGCATGTTCAAAAATGTTCAAGAAAACTATTTTCTCTGTTTCTTTTTTTTTTTTTCATAGATTTGAAGTCAAACTGTCACATTCAAACAATACCAGCCAGGAAACAATCTTGGAAGATGGAAACAACAACTATAAAGATTAAGAATTAACCATGACTAAATAAATGTGACAAATTGTGTTGAATATGTGCTGAATCCATGCAGCTAGATCTTACTTTGAAAACTTACTGAAAGTGAATATTCTACACGCTATAGTGTTAATTAAATTAAATAAAATACAATACAGCATTTGTGTATCCTTTGCTTGAGTCAATTTGAGAGAACTTAGATTTGGAAAGTTAAGTTCTTTTGGGCTTCAATATTAATTTTAATTCAAATCTTAAATTTTAAGAGACAACAAAGTGAACTTAAAGCTTAAACATGTTCACTTAATTATCATCCATTCCTCAGTAGCCCTGACACAGGCACTTGTTTCGTATATGGGGTACCCCTACTTGGTAAAATAAGTAGGGGATACCCTAGATAGAATGTTCTATCGTTAAAATGATATTGTCCTACGGACCCGGTTTAACGATAGAATTCGTTCCGTGTATTCGTAATGTAGCAAAAGAAACACGGGCGATAACTCGCATAGTGCATTTACTAGGAAGAATCTAGAGAGTTCCGAATGTAAACATGGCAGGATTTGAATCGAGAGAAAAACGTTGAGAAAATTATATTAGATTTTCGTATTTATATGGATTATTTTTTGGGATAAAAGGCATAAGCAATCTCAAAAAGGTTTGTTTTGATTATTTGGATAGTTATTTCCAGTGCAAATCATTTTATATTCTTCAAAATCGTTTCGGAGCGGATCCGCTCCGATTTGCTACATTACAATTATATGGGACGTATTCTAACTGTGGTGAGGGCTTGTACCGAGACACAGTTAGATTATTCTAACTAGGGATACCCCGTATACGAAACAAGCGCCTGTGAACCCTGAGCAGTGAGCAGATATACAGACATAAGACTGTTATCCATCTTTGGTGTCATGAGTGGCAGAAAGTCTTCCCTAGACCTATACAGAATGTATACAGTGGAGTGCTTGCATATCACTGCAATATTCTTTATGATTTATCAGCTGTTTATGGCCTATTCCTAATGCACCCCCTCCTTTTCTAAGATGTAAACTTCCGGCGATATCCCTTTCATGGCTCACTCTCAAAAAAGTTGTTTTCTTAAAACACTTGTTGTCTCAAATAAAACCACATCTTCATCATAAAATTTCACCTGTCCTACATCGGTTGCTTATGATGGGATAGTGCGAAAATAATGGCGGATGTGAACAATAACAAGTCTTACTTAGCATATATACGGCCCCATCGTATGCCTCAGACCCAAGAAAACAATATCTTTATCGGATCTTGAACCTTTCGATGAAAAATAAATGTCAAATTTCTTAGTACAAAGCTGCAAACCTGCGTCAAAACGACGGGTTGTTACAATAGCACTCTTCTGTTTCTTGTTCGTCGCCTTCCTTTTGGTGCATAACGTCATCAAATATGTAGACTACGTTACTTCCTGTTTTAGGCGGGGTCATTTCAAAATACGATACTATCCTATCGCAATATTCGTTTAACGCAAGTCAACCTTGACTTTCTTTACGACTTAATTTTTTTACTATCATCTAATTAATAACGAAGAAACCTCATAGAAAATTGGATGGAGTGGGTCAGTAAGGTCCGACTATTAGTTCATATTGTAAAACAGTAAAACTGACTTTGGATATCATGGGAAAAAAAGATCATTAATATATATAAGATTATTGTACCGGTATAAATTTGCTTCATTTTTTTCTTGCTTTTTCTTCTCAAGAATGTGAATGAGTCAATTTAGCACTTTGAAAATTTCCCCGTACAACCCCGTACAATTACTTCCGGCATTTCGAATATTCAAGGAGTGGATCCAATGTCCATTTATGGGTTGGGTTCCTCCTACCCCCTTTAGCGAGTTAAACGACGGTTTTGCCTTGGAAAAAAATATGTTACTTCAGACCTCTAACCTTCCTGTTTTATAAATGTGTAAAGCATGGCATGATTTATAACGCATGTAATGAAAAATTTTATGTATTTTTTTCGCCACCGTTAACAGGCTAGGGTGAATACATCGATATCTATGTGGGCCTACTGATGATTTACATGTACACAATCATAGAATGTATACAACCGGCATTTGCCAAATCTTAATGGCTATATATAATTGCATGCAATCAATTAAATACAATAGCTACGAATAAACCAACATAATTTTGCATTATCAAAATTCTTTGAAATAAAAGTGAGAGAGAGAAAGAGAGAGAAATTTTCATGTAAAGGTATATATAGCATGCATACAAAATATATGGAAATAAAATTAAAGTAAGGATGGATAAGATTTAAATAATAATAATAATTTAGGTACTGGAGGTAGATGCAAAATATACCGAAAGACTCAATATGTTTAAACACACGAATATTTACATTTTGTTACTTAATCTTACATTTTTAATTATTTTTCGATTATATTTTTTTAATCCAGACATTCATTCAAATTGAAAGAGTTGTATCGTTTTTACAAGAGACATCGTTGGGCATCGTATTATTTACTAGCAAATTAAAATCCTTTGTGATATAGGCGGTACAAAATTTATGCCTAATATCAGTACACAATGATAATTAAATGTTTCAATATAAATAAAGAATAATGAAGCGAGTAAATATAACAATTAACATCACAATTATAGGTGATGTAAAAGTTTCAAGTTTTGTTGAAAGGTATGCTTGATTAATCGCCTCTAGAAAACCTGAAGGAGCAGGGGGTGGAATGTTCTGTAAAAGTTTCAGGTTTTGTTGAAACACATGCTTGATTAAACCCCTCCAGAAACCTCATGGAACAGAGGTGGAATCGAATCATGAAGCGCGTCACGCAAGAAGACGGACCCATGTTAAAAACTAACAATACAACTTTTAAATGTTGGATGCTTATCAACGTTTTTGACATACGCTAAAGGACATGGACACGATTAACAGAACGATTTAATATTAAATTACATCTGTATAAATAATTAACGCGGGTCATTGATTGATGATCCTTGTTTGGTGCATGTTGTGCATATTTCCAGAAACTGGAGTACGTACTCAAATACCGTTATTTTTACGGAGTCTACTGAATTTTTTAATGGTTGTGCATGGCACGTCCTATTCTTATTAAGTCCAGCAAAAATAAAGGCACGAGAAAGAAGAAATCTCAAAGATTTGATCGTTCGAATGATGCCGCATCGATTGACGAAGAAGAAGACGAAAATAACGCGTATGTCGTCACCAAACTGTCTTCCTTCCGACACGGGTCGGGAACGATCCCAACTCTGTGTCCATTGTCTGAAGATTGCTGGATTCATAAGTTTGGATCAAAGTACAACGAGTTAATGACAGAAGATGGCGAGGAAATTCGATCCTCATATTTCGGATTTTTGGTTAACCACATGACTTCAGTGGGAAATGGAGAAATGTTGATGTCGGATTATTACAATATGAAATTAAAAATGTTAACCAAATCGGGTGAAATTATTGATATTGCTGAAACAGAGCCGCTTCATCCATTTGGTGTTTGTGCGACTGTGGATGGCGATTTTATCGTCTGCTTGGTGGACAATGATGATTGTGTCATGTCTGAGAAAAGTCAGAGAGTTATTGCAAGAATTAACCGAGACGGAGAGAGAATGCAGACGATAAAAAGTCCCATCTCAAAAGAGGACCGACTTTTCACGAAACCGTACAGAGTAAGTGAAAATAGGAATCTAGATATCCTTATAGTAGATTGGACCTCGGATAGAACAAGCCGATTGGTTGTTTTAACTAAAACTGGACAGCTAAAATGTGTATGTAAAGGTAAACCAAGAAGGTTTGGTGAAATGCCGTTCAACCCGAGTGACGTTTGTTGCAATTCGGAATCCTTCGTCTTAGTAAGTGACTTGTCCAGTCATACAGTCCAACTGTTGAATCCAGAATACAAATTTGTCCAAAATATTTTGGCGCCAAAAGATGGGATTGAATATCCACTTGCGTTGGCCTTATCTCATGACAATGTATGGGTGGGGTCTGGGAATGGGAAGGTCACCTTGCTAAAGTTGACCAAAAAGAAGCAACCGGAAATGAATGGACATCTTGATGTTGAGACAAAGAAGAGCAAACTTTGTATAATAAGTTAGGGATATTAAAGATATCTATCAAAGTATTTTAAACAGTGCCATTAGCATGATTAGATAGACCGGAACCTATTTTATAATTCATAACTACCGAAGCAGAAGTACTTTAGTGCATGTTTTTTCATTATTATTTATATTACATGTATTTATGAATGAAGACCTTTCTCTGCTTAAATATAATTTTGTTGCAATGCATAGGGCTAAATGATACGTACATATATAACATTTTTATCTGAAAATATAGCGATTTATAAATATCCTATATTCTTAACTCTTCGGAAAAAGACATAAAGGCCAAAAAAAATTCTTGCTTTCTATTCATGTCCCTTCTGACTAAATTTTAAGCAACCTTCCCCTTCCCGATCGGTGTCTTCTTATAGTGGATATTCATTATAAATAAGCTTGTAATGTAAGATTTTTTTTTTCAAACTATATTTTCAAGAACAAATGATTGAGAATTCAGGACTTGCTTGTGTGTTTTTTCAACACCATGCAGTGGACCTTGCGTGCTGTCAAGAAATTGGAGGAATCTTGACCTTTCTCCAACATTATAGGATTTTTTCTTTTATGGATACTGAATGAATTTTATTGTTACAATTACATAATCAATACTGGTTGGACCCCATAGGAAATAATGATCCCTTGCGGCACAGATATATATGTATGAGCAATTCTTTTGTATAAAAGTGTCAAAAATCTATTTTTTCTTTTATTGAGGGGTTCAGGACCCCCCATTTATATCACCTAACTGGATCCAATATATGTTGAAAAAAATTAAAATACCTTAGGGTTTCTTTTTCATTGTCAGAAAAATCTTTTCATTTATTACTAAAATATGTTTCATGGTGAATTAGCACCCCACATCCCCGGCAAGAAAAAAAATCCTGGATCTTCCATTGATAAACAAATCTTGACTTTATCCAAGATGCCCTTTATGTAAAAAAAATACTAACGTTTAAATTTATTTATTTGACATAATTTATCATTAATAAATTAAAGTATTAATATACACTAAAAGGTATTATGTAACACATATATATTTATTATCTTTCTAGCTTAATCAATTAAAAAAAATGTACATTATATATTGTTTCAAATATTGCAACTTGGTATAGTATATGAAATGATAAAGTATACGTATTTTTACCTTGAAAATGGAATAGTCGTCTGAGATGCATGTAGGAATATATTCTTATGAGACATTCACTAGATAGCAATATAATAAATACCTGTACTATGTATATTTATGTAATATTAAACATAAGATAAGTGCAATTTATCTCTCGCCTTTTTCTGTTATTTTTCCTATTTTAATTGGATTATTTTATGCTGAGATTGAAGTGTTTGGATCGTGTTCGACCTGACACGTAACGACAAAGCTAAAACATCATCGAAAAGGAAGGTAAATTAATGATAACTTTATGTGTAACTAACTGTAGAAAAAAAACAAGATGTGTTTGTGAAACACTATGCGCCCGGCGGCAACAAAGTTCAAAAAAATATTTTTAGCAGATAAATCACAGTCAGGGTCACAAGGTCATTGACCTTGGTGTCATTTGGAAGAGCTTAATTAGTGAAGTAAGCATACCAAACATGAAGTCTCTATCTCTCATGGTTCAAAAGTTATGGTGAAAGTTCTAAAAAGCTATTTTTAGCATATAGGTCATAGTCAAGGTCACACAGTCATGACCTTGGTGTCGTTTGGGAGAGCTTCATTAGTGGTGTATGCATACCAAATATAAAGTCTCTACCTCTCATGGTTAAAAAGTTATGGCAAAAGTTTGAAAAAGCTATTTTTAGCAGATAGGTCACAGTCAAGGTCACACAGTCATTGACCTTGATGTCATTTGAAAGAGCTTCATTGGTGGAGTATGCATACCAAATATGAAGTCTCTATCTCTCATGGTTCAAAAGTTATGGCGAAGGTTAAAGTTGACAACAGACAAAAAGATAAACGGACAAACAGACAGGACAAAAACAATATACGCCTCGGATCTATCGATCCTGGCGCATAAAAATCCGGAGAAACCAGGTGTGACAGAGGCAGTCAGAGCGGAAACTAGAAGTCTCCTCCGATTTCACCATCAGAGGACTCAATAGCGGGAAATATACCTTTAGATCTAGAATAGCTATGGACTTACAAGAAAAGATCTTAACTATGAACTTACAAGAATTGTTAAAATAATCATTGTAAAGACCATCTGACGTCAGTGTGCAGTGGTGGATGTTTTCAAAGAACTTTATTTGGCATATGGGCCACAACGCTAGCTGTAGAT